CTGAGATCGGATCGGCCTGAGCAAAATGAATGGCACCGTTTATGTGTTATGCAACCACTCGATGAGGTGAGGGAGGCTGAGAGGGTGAGAAACCAAATACAGAAGCGTTGCAGGGGGTGGAGGGAGAGGGAGAGGCGACACACACACACACACACACACACACACACACACACACACACACAAAGGCAGACTAAACAGAAAGATGAGTGATGGATGAAGCAGCGAGGGTTTGTCCGTACAGTAAAGGTGATGGCAGCAGATGAGGAAGCTTGGAGATGTTTATCGTGTGTGTCCCACAGCTTCAGATAATTTGAGGGTTTTTTTTTTTTTTGTAGATGAGAGCTCAGACTGCTGGTCGCCTGCGTGTGTGTGTGTGTGTTTGTGTGTCAGGGGAGGCGCTGAGGCATGTGACCTTGGAAAGATATTGTTATAATGTCAACATTACGGTTGCTCGTTCTGCCAGCGTTGCTTCTGACCTGCAGCAGAGGGCAAGAAAAAAAATGAGGTTTTCTCTTTTCCTCAACCACAGTGATTCTCAAAATCACTATGTTTAGACGGTTTATTATGGAACTCCCAGTCTGAGTCTGAGTCTTGATCAAAGTCATGAGAAAATCTCCTTCCTCGAGCTGTCATGGATGTGATCACTACATTAAATAGTCGAGATATTTAAAGCGCCTATCCATTTGAGAGACTCTCTCTCTGTCACACTGAATCTCAGTCTAAGACGAGTAGATATCTTAGCTGTAACTTGAACTGTCCAGTGCGCACACACTGGCAGCAGACTTAGTGAAGGTATCTCGTGTACAGCAGTGACACTTTTGAAACGAGACAAACATTGATTCTATTTCAATTTGAGAGAAGAAGAAGAAGGAATTTAAAGAATTTCAAAGTAAGATCTGACGTATTGTTTTCGGGTTGTGTCATTCTCGTGAGCACGATATCTCAGTATGGCCTGGACAGAACTTGTTCAAATTTGGCACAGGCGTTCACTAGGACTCAAGGATGAACTGCTTAGATTTTGGTGGTCAAAGGTCAAAGGTCAAGGTTGTGGTGACCTCACAACACGCGGTTTAAGCCTTGTGAACGCGATATCTCCGTAACACCTTCAGGGAATTTCTTTAAATTTTGTGCAAACATTAACTAGGACTCAAGGATAAGCTGATTAGATTTTGAGAGTCAAAGGTCAAAGGTCAAGGTCACGGTGGCCTCACAAAACATGATTTTGGCCTTGTGAAAGGGAATCCCTTCACATTCGGTGCAAACGTTCACTGGGAAATCAGATTAGAGCCGCAGCAGGGTGAGTTAGCAGTTAGGATTATATTTACTTTTTGTTTTTTTTCCGTCTGTATAAAAATAAAAATCTGCATCCTCTCACTCACCATCTGCCAAAGTAATGTTAATAGTCCCATTATAGCTAATGGATTGTTCTCATAGTTTATGGCGCGCATCCTTTTGCCTCTCCATTGTCTTTGGTTTCTGGGAAGCTGCTAATGCGGCGCCAGTAATAGCTTAGGTAAACTGTTATGTCTGATGTTTCCTAACCAGTAATGACAAAACATTAGCTCATCAACAACAGCAAACATACGGCATGAAAAAAATGACATGATTATTGTTATTGTGGCACAAATATGAATGAATAATAGAATAAGAATAAAGAGACTTCGGATATTTTTATCTCACTTTGAATGACGTAACTCAGTTTGTGTTTTAATTTATCTGTCGAACCAGGGTGGCAGTCACCAGATTATTATCTGCACTGTCAGATGTTGTAATACAGTATATGAAAAATGTAGCAACAACTACTTGCCAGCACTTTCTGCTTAAATAAATATGAAAAGGGAAGTTAAAAGGAGGGGGGGGGGGGCATGGAATCAGGATAAGCACAAACAAGCTTGATTTAGACTCCCTCTGATTGTTCACATGAAGACACTCTCTCTATCTGTCTTTTTCACATACATGTGCACACAGACACACACACACTCACACACACCCCCACACTGCTTTGCTGAGTGGTCTGCTGGAGAAAAGGGAAGGAAACGTTTGCTTACGCACAATCAGCTGATGCCCGCCACAGTGTTTCCTGATCTAATGACCTGCTGTCTACAGTGTAATCCAACTGTATGTTGTAATCACGTCTGTAAAGTATGAATGAACCATTCATAGCGCTGTGGTGAACTCAGCAGAGAGCATGATGGGCGATTAGGTATTTTGTCTTTCCCGCAAATGATTTGCCAGCAGAGTGAGATCTGAGCCAAGGACACGATTTACCCAAATACCAACCTGTTAATCTGTGTATAGACGCAACACAGTAACGCGGGCTACTGCGTGCAGGTAGATGGTCATTGGCTGCCACCTGCTGGAGAAAGACGCACGGTACAGTGGAATCATGGGATGCTCATGTCTATGCTTTTGTTAGTGTCTTTATCTAAGTTAGTTACTCTCTTTTTTCCCTTAGTTTTTATCTATAAGCTAATTTATAGAATATAATATGATGTTATTTATCAATAATAATTCATGATAAATTGGTTCCAGCATATTGGTTAAATATGCTGTAATACACAGTGGTGACAACTGAAAAAGTGCGCATAAATTGAATGAAATAAAATTACATTTTCATGGAATAACATGCCCTGGAAGATTTGGAGGGGGTTCTTTGTTTTCATTTATAATAATTGTATTTACTCTTATCATACTGTACTTTAAGCAGACTATATTTTATATAAAATGTGTGGTCCAGGACTGAACAACGAAACCAAGACGCAGTTGAAAGAAACTGAGTAGAAACCAGAATCTGACTGTTTGACTCTGATTTACCCTTAAAAGATTATTACGTATGTAACTAAGTACGTTCTGTACTTATGTATGAATTTGAGATACTTGTACTGAGTAATATTGTATTTTTTTACTACAAACAAATGAAACTACCCAGAACTACATCTGAAACAATAAATTGATTGACAAAAAATTAATTTGCAACACTTTTCATGATTTAAATCAACAATCAATCAATTAATTGAGAAAATAACCAGCAGATTGATCCATAAAGAAAAATAATCATTATTTGCGGCCTTATACATAAGAGTTCAACACTACCTCCACCTCAACCAGTTTACATCGATGTATGAGTCATGATAATGTATAATGTATAATGTAGGTGCCATTGTTCTAGACTAGTACTTTTAATACTTTAAGTACATTTTCCCAATTATACCTACAACCTTTTAACATTTTGTGTTAGAAAGTGATTGAAATAAACCATGAAGACTAGAAACTGGCAGCACAACTCAGCTGGACAAATACTACTACCATGTCCGTTTTAATCGGGTGTTGTCTGTTGCATATTTATTTCACGTTGTCTGGGTCCTCCTGCTGTCAGCTGTTAATTCCCCAACACTGACACAAGGTAGATGAAGGACCCAGATGCAGACTTGGAGTTACAAGTTACAAAACAACTGAGAGACTGAAAATACTCGACTCAGAAAACTCAGTGGCAGGACTCATTTTCTGCCTGAACTGATCATAAAATGTGATGTTATCTTCATCTAAGTCACAAGTGCAGACAAACACAATGTCCCCAAGCTAATATCACACAAACAGTTACAGTTATTCTGTGTCTTCACTGAACACACGCCTAAAACATTCACAATGCTGGCGGAAAAAAATATACAAACCCTCGGTTGTAACAACTGGTTGAACCTGCTTTGGCACCAGTAACCTCAAACAAGTGTTTTGTTTAGCTGCTCAATGTTCTTATAGAGCAACAGGTGGTTTGTCTTCGTTCAAAGTCATTATATAGTGGATTTACTATAATGTTTAGTGTCACTGTCCTGCTGCATCACCAGCTTCTCCTGAGCTTCAGCAGGTGAACAGCCACTCTGACGTTATCCTGTAAGAGACCTGGATAAACTTGAATTAATTTTCCCCTCCAACAACATTCAGCTGTTCAGGCCCAGAGGCAGCAAAGCCCCAAATCATGATTCTCCCTCCACTGCACTTCACCTTTGGGATGATATTTTCCCTTTTTGCAGCATACACAGTGCTGCGTGTTCTTCCCAGACAATTCAGCCTTAGATTCATCATTCCACAAAACATATTCCCAGTGGTGTTGTGGAGAGTCACGCTGCTCTTTGGCAAACTTCACGTGCGCAGTGACGTTTTCTTTGGAGAGCAGCAGCTTCCTCTGTGGTGTCCATGCACCATGATCCATGAATTGTGTTTTTCGACTCCTCTTAACAGAGTTGTTAACCAGCTCCAATGATTCCCTCAAGCTTTTAGCTGTTACTCTGGGCTTCATTTTTACCTCACTGATCATTCTGAGTTGTGTCTTTACTACACTTGTAGAGAATAGTCACAGAACTAAATAATTTCTATTTATAGACAGTTTGTCTGTGACTGACTGTGGACTGATGAATATGTAAGCTCTTTGAGATGAATGTAACCCTTTCAGCTTTATGATAATCAACAATTCTTGATTGTATGTCGTCTGAGCTCTCTTTGTGAGGCCTGTTTCACATCAGCAGATGTTTCCAAACTCAAAATGTTTTATTTTATTTTATTTTTTTATTTTATTTTATTTCATTTTATATTATTTTTATTTTATTTTATTTTTTATTTTTTTTTTGATAATTTTCTATTTTATTTAATTGTATTTTATTTTATTTCCATTTTATTTTATTTTCAAATAAGGTCAAATTAGCCTTAACCTACACCTCCATTCTTATTTCATTGATTGGACTTCCGGTTTGACTCCGGTTAGCTTTTGTTTATGCCACAATGCTACAAATTCTTCATAAATAATGAATAAATAAAAAAAAGTACTTTCTTTTTATTAGAAACGGACGGACTCCCCACCCATCAGGCGCAGCCCGCATTCATAAACGAATACACTCACCGTAGAGGGCGGGCCCAATCTGAAAACCACAACCAATCAGCGTTCTCCGAGAGCGATAGCCTCGGATCCGATTGGCTAAAAATCGCAGTCAATCCAACATTAGTAGATAACATCTAATGACACTTCCGCATCGCCAATACTCAATCCCCTGACGCTTTTTGAAGAAGTTTGAGGTTTTGAGGTTTTTATTTGGATGTGAAATTGAAGATTTGATTTCAGGTGTTCAGGTTTAGTCGCGTCGGGACTGACTGCTGTAATAAAGTGACATGCAGGCGATAAGGTGAGGACTGTCTTTACACACAACTGTCTGACCAACCTGTAGTTTTAGGTTTTTATTTCATCTTTAGTGATAAATACAGCCCTGGTGTTGTCAGTGTGTTGACATAGCTTCTCTTTTCCCTGCGGCTTGTGTGAAGGAAAACATTGTTTTTCTGTAAGTAACGTCTTGTCAAATCAAACCCGTTTTACTGGCTCAGACAGTTAAAAAAAAAAAGTGATTTCTCAATATTTCTAGAAATTTCTTCCGGGCCGCCTGGTCATCTGATGAAAAGCTGGATGGCAAAACTGTGGTCATCACCGGGGCCAACACGGGTATTGGCAAAGAGACAGCCATCGACCTGGCCAAGAGAGGTGAGTCAACACTAGAAAGAGTGAGTCTGACTGATATTTGACTGATATCTTTTTTTGCTTTGACATGCTTAGAAATCAAAAAAAAAAAAAAAAAAAAGTTGCTCAAGCCCTCCTTTGTTTTTTATGAAAGGAGATTTTGACTTTTAGATCCACAGATTAGAGGAGTACAATAAACCAGCCAAGCAAACTAAATAGAGTAGTCTTACATGTCACTGTTTCTAAAACAGGGTGTTTTTCTGGGCTGCATTAAAAAAGGGCAAAAATTGAGAGTATACCCACTTCTCCAGGGACCACTACACCACTGACAAGGAATATAAAAATACTTCCAGGCAGCTTTTTTATTTAACAAAATAATCCAAATGTCTCATGCATCAGTGTTTAATTTTGTTTTAACAGAGGTTCTGCTTAAAAAAGAGAATAAAAGAGGTTTAAATTAAAAATGATATGCACTCGTTTCCCCTAAATACCCACATTTATACAATAAGATCATGAAAGTTAACCAGAAAATATTTGAAAATGTGACTTTCTTTACTCCAGATTTCAAAGTGCAGCACTGAGAATTCAAAGAACTTAGTCATAACCCCTTGGATATATGGAAGATTTCAAATGGCCAAATAAAAGCAAAGCAAAATGAAAGCAAAGTGAAATTGAGAACACACTGTTAAACCAGAGTATTTCCTTTTCCACATTAGAATGAAATCAAAACCTCCTGCCTATAATAACCATTGAGTAATGCACACCCTCTGTCATGAGAGGGTGCTCTCCACCCACTCACTTATTCGTTACTTGTGTATCTATTGATTCGTGTGTGTGTGCGCATACAGAGAAGCAGTATTATGCTGTTGTATTTTACTGCTTTTTTATTTTTATATCTCTGTTTAGGGGCAAAGGTCATCATAGCATGCAGGGACATGGAGAAAGCAGGAGCCGCTGTGAAGGAAATCATCGAGAGCTCGGGCAACGAAAATGTCCTTTGCATGAAACTGGACTTGGCAGATAGCAAGTCGATAAGGGAATTCGCTGAAGCCATCAACAACGGTAAAAAAACCCCCCAAAAACAGCTGTTCCTTAGAAAAACCTGCACACGAGAAGGGTCTTAAAAGCCGCAGCGTTACAAACTTCTTAATGTTCTTTTTCTACAGGAGAACCGAAACTCAACATCCTCATCAACAACGCTGGAGTGATGGTGTGTCCTTATGGGAAAACGGCAGATGGCTTTGAGATGCAGATCGGCGTCAATCACATGGGTAAATTAAACCATTTTATCTGTGTGGTGAGGATCATTAAAAATAGCCCGATTTTCCTTTATTTATATTTGACCATCAAATTGTTATCTAGAACAGTGGTTCCCTAATTAACACACTTGCACCAGTCTCTATACTTACACTTAAAGTCCACTAGGAGGCGTTGTTTGACCTCCCACTTGGCAGCTTTGTGTTCCTCCTGGATACAGAATAGCTTGAATGCAATAATACTTTCTTCATGTTCTCACTGTTTTTAATGGATTCACATTAAAACCATAAATTACTGATATCAAAACAAGCTAAAATATCAGAATTTAACTGCAAATACATATAACTGAGGAACATGTTCTACTTTACTTAAGTGTCAAACCCCTTCCCTGTATCTGTTGTGCATCAGTATTTGGCAGTAAAATCCTTTTTCTGTTAAATATTGATCGGTGTTGATATAATTAGAGGTTGCTGTGCTGATGTCAGATAAGACAAACTGTCCCCCGGGAAGATAAAGAAAACAGTTTTACGCGCTGCTGTCAGAACATTGCATTCTGCCAAGGTTTAACAGAGCACAGCCTTAACGACATACTTTTTAATAAATTCCTTGTTCGCAAACTCGGTCACTATGATTTGTTCCGTGTTGCTCGGATGTCGTCACTGCTCTGCCTCTTGACCCCTGCACAGACAACCTGGACACTGGTGTGAGTCACACGCTGCCAGTTAAAGTCAAAGGTTCAGTCAAATGTGTGTTTTGTTCAAAGCTTCATATGTTTGAAATTAGAGCGCAGAGTGAAAATAAGAATATAATCAACAGTTTTAAACTTGGATAAATCGGTCTCCAGCTTTTTTTTTTGTTGGAATGTCCCATAAGCCCTTGTTTGCCAAAGTCATTTTCTTATCTGATTTGTTGTCAACACATTAAAGTTGCCCCCAGTTTGTTCCTGACCTTTGGTAGTTTCAGACCTGGTGCTGAAATATACTCAACTACTAAGATGTTCTTTCATCTGAGCAGTTATAATTTTTCTTTTCTGTCATGATGACGACTGAATGTACGTTTAATCAAAGATCTGAAACTTTAAATATCTGTCGAACAGCCTAGTGATTAATCTATTGGGTCCTAATGGGATTGATTAGTGCAGTAAAACCAGGTGCAATATAAGATAATATGTTATGCACTGTTATTAACTTTGTCAGAACTTTTTACCAGCTGTTTTTCTGTTACAACAGACACTTCTACTGTAGATTCAAATTTCTGTGTTACTAAAAATCACTTTTTTAAATTTTCCACAAAAGTGACAGAATTTTAGACGTGAGAAAACTCTTGGTTTGACCATCTATTTGAAGCACAGTTGGTTCTTGTTTATCAAGTTTATCAAGCAAATACATTTTTTCTTAAAGGTCACCTTTGCTGCAATCCCTCAAAAGATACACTATCTTTTACTCTGCTTTCTCTAACGTCATATCCCCCTCGTTCTCCAGGTCACTTCCTGTTGACGTATTTGTTGCTCGACCTGATTAAAAAGTCGGCACCGGCCAGGATTGTCAATGTGTCCTCCATGGCTCACAACTGGAGCTCCATCAACCTGGAGGACATCAACAGCGAGAAGAGTTACGACAAGAATAAAGCCTACTCCCAGAGCAAGCTGGCCAACGTCCTCTTCACACGCTCGCTGGCGAAACGACTCGAAGGTTGAGGATCTGTTATTTCATCCTATCTGGCTTCCTTCATTTTGGTTCCTTCATTTCCTTCTAACGTAAAAGCTCATTCACTTTGTTTCTTTCACAGGCACGGGTGTGACGACGTACTCCCTCCACCCTGGAGTCGTCCAGACGGAATTATGGCGTCATCTGAACGGCCCCCAGCAGATCCTATGGAAGATGGCGACCCCCTTCACCAAGAACTCCTCCCAGGGAGCTCAGACGACCATCTACTGCGCAGTGGAGCCGTCGCTGGAGAAAGAGAGCGGCGGATACTACAGGTCCTTTTTATTTTTACATGCATACACAACAAGATCTGATCCTGAACTATCCACATTTGTTCACTCTGCTCCTGAATATTTATATATACAGTTCACAATTCCCCCGGTAAATCTCTTTTACATTGAAAACGATGACGGCTGCAGTCTCTGCGTTGTGTGGAAGACGATGTTGAGCTCCGATGTCGAGTCACTGAATTTTTTTTATTGCTTACAAACGCTTCAGGATCTGAGGGAGACAAACCCGGTCTGAATAAAACAATTCAGCCTGAAGGAAAGACATGATTAAAGGAAACTTAAAATATTAATGAGATGAAACTAATGATGAAAAATTCAATTATAAATACTGATAAAGATTAATTAACACACACAGATTATCATTCTGTAAATCAATATGATTACTTTCTCCCTCAGATTGGATATACATTAATATATTAATATTCACAGATCTTCATTCACTCACCTGGGGGATACAAGCCCGGTCGGACTTGTTCTCCCAGTATTGTTACCATGGTAACCTATAGCACTAAATATGAAATATAAAATAACATCATAAAAATATATTTTTTAAATGACACAAATATGTAAACTATATAAGTAAGTAACAATTTAAAGCTCAAATTATGTTTTAAATGTGACAAATCTTATGTTTTTAATGCGACATGCTAGAGACAGGCAAGGCCACAGGGATTTAAAGAGAGAACTTCTTAAGTCAAGTTTATTTTCGGTTTTCAGAGAGGACTTTACAATCTGTTTACTCCCTCAGTCCTAAAACCTTTTGATTCAGATAAGGAAAAAAATTCCCTCACAATAAAACCTTTGTATCAGAAAACAAAGGAGCAGAAAACGGAGAAGGACAGATATGTGCAGGAAGTAAATTATAAAATAAAGTCTGATATAAAGTAAATAAAAAGTCGCTGATCTTTTGTCTTTGCCAACAGTGACTGCGCTCCGGCGAACTGCTCGGCGGATGGAAAGAACGACGAGCTGGCGCAGAAGCTGTGGGAGCTGAGCTGTCGTTTGCTCTCCGTGACGTGGGAATGAATCAATAAACCGACCAGTTTTTACAGTCTCACGTGTTCCTCCACAAATCAGTGCAGTTTCGTCTTGTTGCTCTAATGCTGCTTGTGAAGAAATGACGTACCAAAATATTATCTTAATGACTTTTGTTACAGTTAAATATGTATTTTTGTTTGTGTTTGTTTTACATAGTAACATAAAGTACTTGCACAACATGGCACTATTTCTAAAATGCAAAAGTATATATGTCACATTAAGTTTACAGAAATCACCATAATCTCTCTTGATAAAAGTTTCACAGTTAATAAGTCAGATTACTTTTTTTTTTACACGTATCAACCGATTTTCTGTGCTGGTGTTTTCTTATTAAACTCTCTCACACACTCCACACGTTTGTTTCTGTCCCTGTTTGCACATGTTTCACATTTAAGGTAATAGGAAAAAAACACATTTCTGGCCAGTTACATGTGGAAAAAAGTGACAAAACAACATGACAAAACAGTATATTTTCATTTTTAATTCACCATATCTAAGTATATAAGTTTCTTCCTCATCAGGTTACCCAGGTCTTTTATTACCAACAACCTCTCTCACTGCTTTGACAAAGAGTAATAAAGACACCCACGGAAATACCTTTAATACCATTGTATGATCTGTGTGTGACTGTGGTGGATTGATAAAAGGCAATGAAACAAAGATTACAGCTAAATATGTGCATCACCTACCCAAACCAAAAAAAAAACCCTAATCCTGTCTTCAAATGTGACGCTGGTTTTGATTGATTTCAGTGAAATCATTGATTGAACTTGATCTGACTGTAAAGAAAGCGGAAGTGCTTCAACAGAAATAATTAAAAATTAAAGCAAATGCAGGAATTTAGATGTAGGAAACATCGTTTTTTTACAATCATTTCTACATGTTTTCATATGCTCTGTTTGTTCTGAGGATGTTTGGAGTTGCACAGTGTCCAAAGGAAACTTTACATACATTGTTATTGTCATTTATGCGGTTATTTATTGGATTGTGTGTAAAAAAGAAGCTGAGGATCAATTGGATGTTTTAAATCATCTAAAGACTGTGATTAAAAAAACAAAAAGCTTTTAAAAAGTTTTTCTGCTTCTTTGTTCCAGTTTGTTTCAGTAACATTTTCCACATCTACCTTGACCTTGACTTATCTAATCAACAACATAAAGTTAATATCAACTAAGGACACCCTCTTCCACAGTGTGTATTTTTTATATTATGTAAGGTATTGGAGTATTGATAATATTGTTGACTACATCGCCTATTTCTTAATATTTGCTATTACTTGATGTAAAGTTTGGTAAAATATTATTATTGATATATCAAATTTAAGAGGAAAGCAATGAAAAGGTTTAATTTGAAGAAGAAGACAAGAATAATTCAAAACCGAATGTCCTTTATTGATTGGTTGATTGTCAGTTGTGGAAAACTGTGATAAGCTTCAATGAGACAAGACCTAGAATCACCTCTTTGTTGTATAACATATTGATTTACTCATTAAACTTAGTCTAATCATTTGCAAGGCACCATAAATGTGTTCACTGAGGTCCTTCATCTCCATGGCCACGTATACAATCAATCATTAATTTTTAATAGAGAAAAGAGGCTGGCTATAAGAATCAGCTGCAGGTCCGACAGCGATAGCATCACCGGGGGAAAAGGCAAACGGTATGGATGTAAGGATGATGTGGTGCATGACTAAACTGGACTAATTACGCAAGTCTTAGAGAAATACTAACCACATTAGTTTCTGGATGTGATGGTGCCAAGAGAAGGAGGAGGGATATTGACATGATGGTGCAGTAAAGGTTTTTGATTTTCTGTCTTAGTGATGTACAGTCAGGATGGAGGAAGCTGAAGACGGCATTGCAGTGGTGGGCATTGGATGCAACTTTCCTGGGGGTAAGCCACGAGATTTGGGAGCCATGTTTTTGTTTTTCTTCTTTTCACCATAACTTGTATATATGAAATCAGGCAACTACAAAATGCTGAATACAAACAGGTGGCTTTTCTGCTTTCTGTGTTTCCAAACAGGAGAAGGGCTTGACAATTTCTGGAAGGTTCTTGTGGATGGAAGAAACTGTTCTGTGCCGATTCCCAAAGAGAGGTTTGACCTGGCCGACTGGTATGATCCTGACGACAACAAAGCGGGTAAATCCCGCACAGCCAAGGCTGCTCTCATTGATGGGTATGGTATTTCAGTCTTACTATACAACCCATCTAGATAAACCTGTGTTTTGTAAACATGCAATAGAAAATAAATTATATTTTAATGTTGTTTGTATGTTGTTTGTATCACATTTTATGTCTCTATATTATTTATTTGTGCATTTCTTGGTAGCCCTTACTTTATATGCGCTTTACATTGAGTTAATGAGAAATGTTGATTTATTCACTTGACTTTTCCAACTGTTAAGTAATTGTGATGAACTCAGGTGTGCATCGCTTGTTAATGATGTCACTGATTGAAGATTACCAACAGGTGTGGGGAGTATATATATATCTTTAAACCAAACACACTAATATATAAAATCTAAGAAAAGCAGTGTAACTCCTGATAGAAGTGTTTTATTTTCCTCACATCAAAAACTTCAGACTTTGATATTTACTCAAACCAAGCAAGAGGTGTTTGGGAAGTCTCTCACATAAAATAGATTTTATTTTTAAGTATAAAAGAATTAAATGAATAAATATATATGGAGAGAAATAAACATATTTATCAGAAACTTAAATTGATCCCAGAGGTTTTGATCGATTGCTTTCAGGTTCAATGAATTTGACCACAAGTTCTTCGGCATCAGTGACAGTGAAGTGGAACAAATGGACCCTCAACAAAAGCAGCTCCTTCAGTGTGTTTACAGAGCTTTGGAGGATGCTGGGATTCCTATGGAGAAGGCCAGTGGGACCCGGACAGGAGTGTATTTCGGTGAGACAGTAAAAACATACCGGCTTGTCATGACTAAAGATATAATTCTTTTCTACATTAATATTTTTTCTTTCTTTCTATCCAATTTTTAAAAAACTGACTAAATCACCCATTCCAAAATTTCTAAATACTAAATAGTGATCCAACATGTTTTCCTTTATATTTATGTAGGCCTCATGAACAGAGATTATGAAACAAATGCTGCACATGTGCACCCAAGTGTGATCAACCACTGGACTGGCACCGGGCTCGCCATGAGTATAGCAGCAAACAGAGTCTCGTACATTTTCAACTTTACTGGGCCCTCGATGTCCATAGACTGTGCCTGCTCATCCTCCCTCGTGGCTCTTCATCTCGCCTGCCAATCCATTAAACAAGGTCCGTCTGTAGCACATGTGTAACTGATGGCAATAGCACTTTGGAGAGCAATGTGTAATCGTAACTCTAATGGAAAGTCATACCTCAGGATTGTAATTTTTATGACAAGGATCCGTGTTAAAAAGGGCATTAAAATATTATTGTGTGCGATGATAAAATGTTTTATCTTATCAGGCGACTGTGATATGGCTGTTTGCGGAGGAGTCAACTGTATCATAGAGCCCAGAGTGTTTGTTGCTCTCAGCAAGGCCAAGATGATCTCACCCGAAGGGACCAGCAAACCTTTCTCCAACAGAGCAAATGGCTACGGTCGAGGGGAAGGCTGCGGGGTTGTTCTCCTCAAGCCTCTGAAAAAGGTCAAAATAAATGTGACAATTTCCATCCTTACTTTTCATATCAGATATAAGAGCAACATCAATTAATAACTGACTCACTCAGTATAAATAAACATTTTGTTTCTTTTAAATATTAACCAGTCTGAATAGCACCCATAAATGTTATTAGTTAACCCTGTGTCTCTTGTAGAAGTTCAGAACATATTTATACACAATTTGAATCAGGACTAAACATCATAATTTTAAGACGCCTCTCATCGTGTAATTTCTGTCTGGTTGTTGCTTTACAGGCAATACAAGATCATGACCATATCTGGGGTATCGTCAGCAAAACAGCGGTCAACCAAGACGGACGCATGGTCACTCCAATCACCAAACCCTCCATGACGCAACAAGAGGAGCTGCTGCGAAGAATCTACTCCGAGTCTGACCTTGCAGACGTTCAGTACATAGAGGCACATGGGACTGGAACCCCAGTCGGAGACCCAACGGAGGCAGGGAGCATCTCCAACGTCATCGCTAAAGCCAGACCTCCTGGTTCAGAAGCACTGCGGATCGGCTCTGTGAAAAGCAACATCGGACATACAGAATCTGCAGCTGGGGTGGCCGGGCTCATTAAGGTTCTGCTAATGATGAAGCACGAGACCATTGTTCCCTCCGTTTTCTACTCTGAGGAAACTGCCAGTGTCAATGCCAAAGCCCTGAACATCAAGGTTCCCAAGGAAGCGGAAAAGTGGGAAGCCTCCGGTGCAAGAATCGCAGGGGTGAACAACTTTGGCTTTGGGGGAACGAATGCGCATGCTATTGTCAAACAGTACAAACAGTCACCCACAAGGCAAAAGAATGATGAGACACAACCAAAGTACTTCGTCATGTCGGCAAATTCAACAAAATCTCTCTCCCTGATGATGGAAGACACCGTTAAACAGCTCGAGGCAGACAGTACAGTTGATCTAGACTCTCTGCTGTACACATCAGCTTGCAGAAGAAGCCATCTAAAACATAAATACAGAAAGGCCGTCACGGTGTCATCTGTGGTCGATCTTAAAGAGAAGATAAGAGTTGCTCTGAGCAAAAATGTCAGCCCATCCCAGTCAGATCTGAGATTAGTGTTTGTGTTCTGTGGAAACGGCATTACTTACCATGGCATGTGCAAGCAGCTACTACAACACGAGCCTGTGTTCAGAGATAAAATCAAAGAGACTGCGCAGCTTTTCCAAAGGCTGAGCGCACTGAACATCCTGGAGACACTCGAGAGCGAGTTTGAGAGCGCTGACTTCAAGAACCCAGAGGTTGTCCAACCTTTACTCTTCGCCATCCAGGTTGGCATTAGCACGCTACTCAGGCGATGGGGTGTCAAGCCTGATGCAATACTCGGACACTCTGTGGGAGAGGTTGCGGCCGCTCACTGCTCGGGCCTCCTCTCTCTTGAGGATGCAGTGAAAGTCATCCATGTCCGCAGCACCCTCCAGAGCAAAGTCACCGGGGGGAAAATGCTCGTGATCAGCAACATGGCAGTTCCAGAGGTAACTGCTCTTCTCCCTCGTTACTCTGGTAGAGCCTGCCTCGCTGCGTTCAACAGCCCGCAGTCTTGCACCCTCTCAGGTGACGCAGACGCAATCAAGAGCCTCCACGAGGAGCTAAGCACCTCAGCCAACAGTCAGAACCTGTTCCTCCGTGTGCTGGATGTCCCCGCTGCTTACCACAGCCACATGATGGATGCGATTCTGCCAGAAATCGAAGAAACACTTGGCTCCTTACGGGTGAACGATCTCGACACAGAGTTGTTCTCAACGGTGACAGGCAAGGAAATCGAGCAGGGGGATTTCTGCACAGGTGAATACTGGGCAAGAAACATTCGCAAACCAGTGGCGTTTGAGCAGGCAGTGAGGTCGGCAGCTAAAGGAATGAAGAATACGGTCTTTGTGGAGATTGGGCCAAGAAGGGCGCTGCAGAGAAACATCATGGAAACTCTGGGTAACAACACAGCTGTTCTGGCCTCGGTGCAGCCAGAGAAAGATCATGAAACAATGACATCTGTTGTGTCGAAGTTGTTTGAACTGGGTGTTCAGGTAGATTGGAACACCTTCTACAGAGGATACAAGACAATGCCACTGCCTTTCCCGAAATACAAGTTTGACTGCTCAGACAGAGATGTTATCATCGGAGCAGCACAGAAAAACACAGCGAGCAATCATCCTGTGCTCTGTCAGACAGGAAGTGAAAGCAACATTTTCAGCTGTGATCTGATGTCGGACTCTTGTTTCTACCTGAAAGAGCACAAACACAACGATATACCCATCATCCCCGGTGCCTTCTATGTGGAGCTGGGCTTAGCCGCAGTCATGGCCACTGCCAAACCAAAGGTACCGCTCAACTCACTGCAGCTTGTTGTCAGTTTTCACAGTCCATGTGTTTTAACCCCGAATTTGCCTGAAGTGAAGGTGCAACTGGAACAAACAGAGAAAGAAACCAGTTTCAGGGTATTCTCCCCATCTGCGGTGTACGCATCAGGCACAGTCGTTTCCAAAAGAGAGAGGCTGATTGACGAGCAACATATTTCACTGAGCTCCATCTACAAAAGATGCAAATCTGTCGTGAGCTTTCAGGAGTTCTATGAGTATCTGTCCCAAGGAGGCTTCCAGTATGGAGACGTCTTTCAGAATAAGGCGACTGTGCACTACGGAGAACATCTCAAGGAGGCTTTTGCAGTTGTCTCGGTTCCAGAGGAGCTGCGGCCTCAGTTGCACGACTACTGCATTCATCCTGTTGTGTTGGATTTTCTGATGCAGCTTCTCCCGGTTACAGTGGAGCACATTTTTGCTGGTAGGCCGGGCTTTCCTGCCAAAATAGGAAGTTTGACAGTGTTTGAACCTTTGCAAGAGGAGATGATTGTCTATCTGAGAGCGACGGATGTGGGCACTGATCACTTGGGGGTTTGTGGATGCTTTGCAGATAGAGAGGGCAGAGTTTTGGTTGAAGTTAAGCATGTGATAATCAAGTATCTCGGCAGTCACTCTCATGTGGTTGAGGAGTACTTCTACCACAATACCTTCAGTGTCGTACCTGAGAGTATCACATCTGCTCCTCCTCATCCTAAGGCCTTGGTCTTCTGCGATCATATTGGGATTCATATAGGCTTGCGACAACATTTGGACTCGAGATCTTGTTACATTTCATTCACACATGCAAAAGATATCTTGAGCCATGGCTTCCCCTCTCTCTTGGCAAAATGCAATATCACAGATATCGGGAAAAACTTTGACGAGGTCTTGTTTTTATGGGGCAAAGAAAACCTGACTTCGCTGTCAGCCGATGACATCCTGCAGAATTTGGTGAACTGCTGTGAGATCTTCCGCCAGATAGTCCTTGAGCTCAAGCAAATTCACTTCCCACACTCCATCAGAGTAGTAACCTACTGTTCCTCTGACATCACTTTAGACTACATAAGTCCAGGTTTTGCTCTTGCTGGTATGACGAGATCATTTGCTGCAGAGATACCAGATCTTTCATTTCAGCTGATTGATATAGGCACTGTCTCTGCTAAGGACATTGCAACTCTGTCTCAAGTCCTACAATCGTGCCCTTGCAGCAAGTACCCAGAACTGGTGGTGAAAGATGGGCTGATTTTGAAACCTTCCATTGTCCGTACTCCACCCAAAATCACTGACAGTTCAGGGGGCAGTTTTATCTCTACAATGCCTGAGCCCTGCATCCTTCAGACAGCCGATGCACATAAGATTACTCAAGTTAGTGCCATTCTCTTTGACGAAGGGGCCCAGCCAATCAATGACGCATACGTTGAAATTCGGCCCAGCAAGATATGCGTTCATTCATCTGATTACTTCCCTGTCAGTGCTACACACCTGAAATTTGGCCAGACGCTGTACTGGAACAAACACTCATCACAGAATCACAAGCTGCTGGCTCTCGATTTCAGTGGTACTGTTACAGCAGTGGGAAAAGATGTCAAGAAACTCAAAGTGGGGGACCACATTGCTTCCTGTTATCCTGTAGTGGCAGCCAACAGGGTCAGAGTACCAGAGGACGTGTGCTACAGCACCAAACGATTCCCATTCCTTCACAGAACACCCTGTGTTTCCTACTTTGTGCTGGCATGGGAAATCCTGCGTCAAGCCTTGCCCAAAGCCAAACATCATCTAGGAATCATATCCTCTGTCCCCGACTCTGCTCTGACGAAAGTCTTGACGCTTACATCTTGCAAATCAGGCTGGAATGTGGTTGTTGGAACACAGTACAATGGGTCTTTTGTAGATGTCAATCAAATTGACGCATTTGTCGTCCTGCCTCCATTTGATGAATCCCTGATTGGCAAAATTTGCGATTTTCCAGGCGTCCAACATGTTGTCATCGTCTGTGAATCTCAGGCGCAGGGCTCGCTTGCTCAGGACGTGCTCCACAGTGTAAAGGAGAGTGTTCACGTGCAGACAATTCAGATGCCAGTCATTTTGCAAAAAGGATCCTTGAGAGCACAAAGGCCACACATTCATCACTGGCTCAAGTCCTTGAACTTGAGCACGAAATTTGCCCTTAAAAGCTTCACCTTTCAGGGCGTGAAAGCTGACAGCAGCAAGAGCCTTCATTTTGAGGAACCAGAATCGTACTTCAACACAGAGAAACTGGCTGTAGTGTCTCTGGAAAAAGATGTCAATGGTGCAGTGTCTGAGATTCCACTGCTGCCAACAAAAAAAAAACTTTTCCAGAGGAGAGCAGTGTACATAGTGGCAGGTGGTCTTTCTGGTCTGGGCTTTGAAACCGTCAAGTTCATTTCGCAAAGAGGGGGCGAGTATATTGTCATACTCTCCAGGAGCAGGCCAACACCAGATGTGCAGCAGGAGTTACACAATGTAGAGAAACAGTGTGGAAACTCCATCACTAGCATTGAGTGCGACATATCCATCTTTGAGCAGGTGTGTAAGGTTATCAGTGTCATCAGCCAGAAGTTCCCTGGTTGTCCAGTCAGAGGAGTGTTTCACAGCGCAGTCGTGTTGCATGACGGGCTGATTGAGACGCTGGACAGATCCCTCTATGAGAAAGTTCTCAAACCGAAAGTAAACGGTGCACTTAATTTGCACCATGCGACACGGCACTGTCAGTTGGACTACTTTGTGTGTTACTCCTCCATCTCCGCCTTTCTGGGAAATGCATCACAAACAAACTACGCAGCAGCCAACACATTCCTCGACATGTTCTGCCAGTACAGGCGCAAACTCGCGCTGCCCGGACAGTCCATCAACTGGGGAGCTCTGAACCTCGGCCTCCTCCTGAACAAGGAGCATTTCCAGCGATTTCTAGAGGCGAAAGGGATGATGGTGTTGAACGTGGCTGAAATTCATAAAAGCTTGGAGCAGTGCCTTGTGCTTAACCGACCCCAACAGGCCGTTTGCAGGTTTCACTTCAGGAACATCAGGTACAACATCCTATCTCAAAACGCGGCCTTGACCATGCGCCTGTCCGCCTTAGTGGAGGAGGCTTTTCAAAAATCCGAAGACACAGATTCTCAAACTAAACAAGCCGAATCTGTGTCACCGAAAGAGTACGTCGTCTCGCTCCTCACTGAGACCATCGGCATGGATGAGAGCGAGCTGAAAGACGAATCACCTCTCTCGTCCTTAGGCATCGACTCCATGCAGGCCATGACTCTGCAGAATCTGATCTTTCAGGAGAGAGGTGTGAATGTGCCTTTGGTGAAACTGTTGGATCCCAACGCCACACTGTCAACAGTGGTAGCCATACTGAGTGAAGGAGCTGAAGGCGAAGACGCCAGTGATAACCCAGTGAGTAGTAACTGCACTGAAGACATGGAGGATCTTTCAACCAGGCTGTAAAAAATGACAAAGGCAGATATAATGTAAACAGCATCATTCCTTTTTTATTTTTTTGTAAATGTTTGGCCCTGGTTATATTTTCAGTTCATTTTTGTATCGTAGTTTTACATTGTTCTACATTGATATAACCATACACCATTTTATTTTACTCACTTTTTTGGTGTTTTGTATCACAATTTTATTCATTTTGTTTACTGATATGTTCACAATGAAAATATGAAAAACTGCCAGCATTACAATTAAATGCAAATTGTACGAAAATGGAAAGTATTAAATGTATAGAGAATAATTTATAAATGTGTATTCTTTTATATTATTTCATTAATAGTCAATAAATTTCAATCTTTGAAGCTTTGTAATTTTTCAAGTCTGTGACAGCCTTTTGTCAGCCTGTTTTGTTTTCACTCATCTTTATGGGTCATGGTGACTTCTTATCACTGATAAGCTCAATGATTCTGGCTGATTGTCAACTTTATGATGTTGATGGAAAAAAAAAAAAAAACATATGATACAGTATTCTGACATGTCCCATAAACTATTTGAACCTCTAATTTATCACAACATGTAGACAAAGACAAAGACATTCTCCTGGAGGACAACAGGAACAACAGGTACGGTAGTTTAAGGTGTTTACGACAGTGTTTTCCTACTAAAGAAAAATTATATCACAACCAAAGCAGCAATTCCTCCTCTTTTTCATGGTTTGCTGTGACGGACAATTTAGGGTTGGACTTAATTAGTTTGGTCATTTCCTGTTTTGTGTGTCTCGTTTTTACTTCCTGTCGTCTTCCTGTTTCCCTCCTTGTTGATTGTCTGCCCCGCCCTAATATGTTTCACCTGTGTTCAATTACTCTTGCCTCCCGTGTGTCTATTTAGTCTCTGTGTTCCCCTTTGTCTTTGTTAGTTTGTCCTGCTTTCTGGGTTTTCTTCTTCCTGGTTGGTGTGTATTTGATTCTTGATTTCATAAAGTTTTTGTTTTTTTCACTTAATAAATCACCGATTTCACCTACTCTTGGGAGGTCTGCATTTGGGTCCCTTATAACTAAAAAGCCTGACAATCAGGCTGACTTCAATCGTGTGTATAAAATATTATTTCTACTTTTTTTGTACAGTAAACTTTAATGGACATTATTGTAGTTGCAAATATGACACCAAATAACTTGCATCTTGGCAACGAGTGTAATGTTTTTGTTTTCATTTTTGTTTCATCATGACACAATAAATCAAACTGCCAGTTTCTCTATTTACTTGATAAGTTTGGTTTATTTACAGATTACACAAACTCACATTTATTAAGAGTGTAGAAATATCACAACAAAACAAACTTTAGAACAAAAGGGAAAAAAATGCACAGCTTCAAAACAGCATTTAAAGGTCAAGACATTTTAATTCATTTTCATTTTGAATCCTATTATATTAACAAAGGAATTAACAGTGTCTCACTGCACCTACGACAAAGTACACAACAAAAACAATGTTCTATGGCAACAAAACACAAGCTCTATCAGGCTTTGGCCATAAATAAAATTAATGTTTAATTAATTGTGGGGTTTTTCTCCTCAGGACTTAATGATGATAATAATTAAAGCATAAAATATCTAATCTCTATGATTTAATGAGCTGGTCTGCAACTAGATTTCAGACATGATCAAGCAGATTTATGTAAGACTATAAACTGGCTATGAATCACACCGAAAACCACAGTTACTGTACAGATCTTTAACAGAGAACATGTCACTAATATAAATATACACATTACAATAAAAATCAGAAAGTAGCACAAGGTACCAGTGGAAAAACATTTATAAAATATACTTAGATGTAGAGTTATATAAACAAGACAAAAAAACAATCTGACTGCTATGAGATCAATGTCACAGCAGTGAAACCGTGCAGTCGCTGTGCAAAATGTAAAATTAAATCCAAGCATTTTCATGCATTCACAAAGCCATTTCTGACTCATCGTTCAAAGTATTCTTTGTCATAGTAAATGAAATCATCCATTGTTCATTACAATAGTTGCCAAAGTGGCCAATGTGCTGTTAGGATCCAGTATTCTCACCAAAGGTACATTCACTCCTGTCTCCTGGAAAATCTTGTTCTGAAGCGTCATGGCCATCATGGAGTCAATACCCAGCTCACACAGAGCAGAGTCATCTTCCAGCTCATCCACAGCAACACTGCTTATGTCACTGACAATTATTCTCAGGCTTTCATGTGTGGAAGGCAAATGCAGAACTTTGGGTTCATTACTAACGTCATCTCTGAGCTCCGTTTCCATTAAAGCTGACAGTCGTTCTCTGAGAGACGCATTTTGTGAAAGAACGTGAACGCTGAGGTTTCTGAAGTTGAACTTGCACACGACTTGTTGTGGTCTGTTCATCAAGAGACACTTTTCAAGTGCCTCACGAACCTCACACACATCCATTATCGTCATCCCTTTTGCCTCTAAGAACTTTTGGAAATGGTCTTTGTTCAACAGGAGACCAAGGTTCAAAGGCCCCCAGTTGACGGACTGTCCTGCAAGACCGAGGTTCCTCCGATAATGACAGAACAAGTCGAGGAAAGAATTGGCTGCGGCGTAGTTGCACTGTGAGGCGTTGCCGATGAACGAAGAGATGGACGAGTAGCACACAAAGTAATCAAGTTTGTTGTGGAGTGTCGCAGAGTGAAGATTTAGAGCGCCACTAACTTTGGGCTGCAGCACCTTTCGGAAGAGAGACTTGTCGAGGGTTTCAATCAGCGCATCGTGCAACACCGCGGCGCTGTGAAACACTCCTTTGATCGGACAGGAAGAGAATCGATGTTCAATCTTTGAGATTGCATCCACCACCTGCATCGACACAGAAACATCACATTGGATGTTTAAGATAGAAACCCCATATCTTTTCTGGAGGAGCTCCATTTCAAACTTCACTGCGTCTGTTGGGATACTTCTAGACAGTGTTGTGATACAACCTCCACCATTATGGGCAATGAACCTCACCGTTTCGAGTCCCAAACCAGAAAGGCCTCCAGTTACAATATAAACACAGCTTTGTTTAAAAAGCTGTCCTGGCCTGGTGAGCAAAGGGATATCAGACACCGGAAAATGAGACTCTCCATCATCTAGAACCACCTGCCGCACTGTTGTTCTGGTGAAATAAGATTCAGAATCTGCGTCGGTCTGCTTCTCTTTCTTGCGTGGTAATTGAAATATCTCTTTTTTCAAAGGTAGAGATACTGAATCAAAACCTAATGACGTTAGCCAGTTACAGATATTCCTGCTCTGCACCTGCAGATTGGCTCTCTGGAGAACATTAGCCACATCAAGTTTATGCACGTGCACGTGTTCACTCTGTGATGCAAACACGTCTGCTGAGTGTGAGGATGACATGTGGCTGCTGCATACAAAAACAACGTGTCTCTCGAGGCCACCACTGTCTTGTATTTCCTGCCAAGAGTGATCGAATGGGGGCAGGAAAACAAATGCATGACTCCGATCAAAATGTAGAGGTGCTCCGCTGAAATGTGGCCGAGAGGAAACGTTCCAACCTGACCTGTTTGCTGTCAGAGCTAAAACTTTCATCAGAGCCGAGGCTAAGTTAGAGGAGACGATGGTCAGCTTCCTGTGCGTCTGTTTTACTATAGGCAGCATTCTCTGCAGGATCTCCCATGCCAGTATGAAGTAAGACACGCATGGAGTCTCCTTCAGAAATGGGAGTCTCTTTGTACCATAGCACACAGCTTCAGGAACTCTAATCTTCGCCGTGGCAGCAACGGGATAACATGAAGCGATATGATCTCCCACTCTTAGACTGTGAACATCTGTCCCGACAGCTGTGACAACGCCACTAAAATCTAAAACCAGAAGCTTGTGACTCTGAGACGTATGACGGTTCCAGTATATCGTTTTGCTGAAGTCTAAATGTGTGGTGGTGACAGGAAAGTAATCAGGTGAGTGCGTGCACACATTGGTGAGCTGAATCTCAACTGACTTCTCTTGGATGGGACTTACATTTGTGTTGAAGGGGACAGCAGACAAGTGAGCCAGTCTGTATGGATCAGTTGTCTGTAGGACAAAGTTGCTCAGACACACCGGCTGCACATCACCTTCACACGAAGCCACACCCATCATTGGGGTCCGCGCGATTCTTGTTGCCGACGCCTGCCCTTTGGTGATCACGACCTCTTGTTGCTTGCAGGTGTTGATTACATGAACCAGCATTTGGATATCTTCACTGGTAACAGAAGCGAGGTCAATCAGCTGAAAAGAGAAACCTGCCATCTCTGCTGCACAAGCCCTTGTCATACCAGAAAGCGTAAAACCCGGACTGACATGGTCCACAGTCATTTCTGTTGATCGGTAGGTTATGACGCGGACAGTGCAAGACGGTCTTCTCTCTTTCAAGGCTAACACAATCTGGCGATACAGCTCACAGCAAGTAACCAAGCTCTCCAGTGTCTGCTCAGACGACAAGTAACTGAGGTTCTCTACTCCACAAATGAAGAGAACATTTTCCAAATCCACATTAGCGTCGAGTGAGCGAAACACTAAATCTCGCAGTTGGTCGGACACCCAATAATCTCTGCTCTCCACGACGACTGACTCTGGGTGTAAGTATGGCCGAAGTCTTTTAGTCATGCAGAGTTTGTCTTCAAAAATGAGTGCTTTTATTTTGCTATTTTGCAAATCCGACTTGTCACAAATTGTAATTACTTCATTGTGATAGAACAGCGACTGAAGAACATTCGAGCAATTGCCCAAAAATGAGATCCTCACTCTCTTAAGTTCCACTAGTACTTTCCCCTCTGTGGTAGAAAAGCAACCACACACTTCAAGGAAGTCCGGGGTTTCTTGAGTTGCCCGTAAATATAGGACCATTTCCTCTTGTAATGGTCCTGAAATGGCGACACAACCTATAGCTGAAGGGAATCCCTGCTTGGCTGTTAGCCGTCCAGTAGCCACCACTGCAGTCATTTGCAGGAAATAGTCCAGTAACACAGGGTGGATGAAATAGTCATGAAGGTGCTCTAGAAGTTCTCCAGGGACTTGAATTTTTGTCACAGCTTCCTTGAATTCATCCCCAAAATGCACATCATCGAGCTGTTTGAAGACAGAGCCATATTCAAATCCTGCTCGAGAAAGGATTGAATAAATCTCTTTTCTCTTCATAAGCAATTTGCACCTTTGACAGATCATGTTGAGAACAATGATTGGTTCCTCTAACAGTGGTTGGCCATCTGCGATCCTGTATTTGCCAGACGCATGTGTTGCGAGAGAAGACTGTATTTTAAAAGAGGTCTCATTGTCTACATGCTCAAGTACGACTTTCATCTGATGCTGGTCTGAGCTGAGTGTAAAGAGACTCTCAAATGTAACACTGAGCTGCAGCAGAGAAACAGGTTTCTTTGGTTTTAAGCTCGCCATCACCGAGGCATAAGCTAGCTCAACATAAAACGCACCCGGCACGATGGAAACACCATTGTTTTTATGCTGCCAAAGATATGGTGCAGCCTCTAAAGAGAGGTTGCACATGTACTCTTTGTCATGTAGCTTTATTTGGGATATGAAGGTATGGGGAGGAAAAGCAGATAATTCGTCACCTTTCCTCACATCTTCAAAATTCAGTTCTTTCTTTGAGTGGTCGAACTGATAGATTGGAAGAGCTGCGGGCGATGTCTCGTAACCCTTGTAGAGTCGATGCCAGTCCACATTTATGCCCAGTTCAAATACTTTTGCCAAGGTAGACAAGATTGTGTCATAACCCTTCTCTGGCTGGACAGAGGAGAGAACTATGGTGTCGTTTCCCAGCGTCTCATGTATGTTCCTTTGGAGAGCCCTACGAGGTCCAATCTCCACTAAGACCACATTTCTCCTAGATTGCTGGGGTTTAGTGGCAGCATGCAGTGTTTGCTCAAATAAAACAGGCTCTCGGATGTTCTTTGCCCAGTACCTGCCAGTGCAGAAGTCACCGTCTGAACACCTGTCCGCAGTCACTGTGGAAAAAAGTTTGCATTCCATTTCGTTGGCATCTAAAAGATTTATGCTTCTCTCAATGTTCTCTAATATGGGATCCATCATATGGCTATGGTATGCCGCCGGAACATCCAAGATACGGAGGAAGAGGTTTTTATCCGTAAACAGAATCTTCAACCTTTCATAGAGGACGTCTATTGCATCTGAATCCCCTGACAGTGTGCAGGACTGAGGGCTGTTGAAAGCTGCAACACAAATTTTGCCGTTGAAGACTTGAAGGATGTCTACTACCTTTTCTACAGCCACGTTACTGACCACAAGCATCTTCCCACCTGTGACCTTGCTCTGAAGAGTGCCGCGGTGGTGCAACACTTTAACAGCATCTTTGAGAGAAAGGAGGCCAGAACAATGAGCTGCGGCAACCTCGCCGACGGAGTGTCCGAGTACAACATCAGGTTTGACACCCCAGTGCTTCAGGAGAGTGGAGACGCCAACCTGAATCGCAAAGAGCAGAGGTTGGACAATATTTGGCTTGCTGAAATCATCATCATCATAGTTGCCGGCAAGCCATTGACTGACGCTGATGCTTTTATAACTCTGGAAGAGATTCTCAATTTCTCTGACCTTATCTCTAAAAACAGGAACCTCTCTCAGGAGCTGCTTGCACATACCCCTGTAGGCGACTCCATTCCCACAAAACACAAACACCACCTGGATGTCTGACTTTGTTGGCTCCACCTTTGTCTTCAGCGCAGATTTCAGCTGATGCTGTAAATCTGAGAGGGAAAATGTCAGAAAGGCCTTCTTATATTTGTGTCTGTAATGACTCCGTCCACATGCTGAGGAGTATGACAGCGCCTGTAAGTCAAATGCTTGAGCGCTGCAAAGCTTTTGATGAGTGTCAGCGATGGATAGCATCAATGATTTCTCAGAGGCTGCAGATATGACAAAGAGTTTTGGACAGCCTTTTGGGAGCTGTGTGGGAACAGTGGTCTTTCTATACTCTCTTAAAATCACATGTGCATTTGTGCCGCCAAACCCAAAGCTGTTAATCCCGGCGACCCTCTGTAATGACCTATTCGTCTCCCATCTTTCAGCTCTAGACGGAATATTTAGATTAAGAGCTTTTAAGTTTACACTTGCATTGTCTTCAGAGTAGAAAACAGTGGGAACAATGGTCTCGTGCTTCATCATCAGGAGAACCTTAATGAGTCCGGCCACCCCAGCTGCAGATTCTGTATGTCCAATGTTACCCTTCACAGAGCCGATCCGCAGTGTCTCTGAACCAGGAGCTCTGGCTTTAGCGATGACGTTGGAGATGCTCCCTGCCTCCGTTGGGTCTCCGACTGGGGTTCCAGTCCCATGTGCCTCTATGTACTGAACGTCTGCAAGGTCAGACTTGGAGTAGATTCTTCGCAGCAGCTCCTCTTGTTGCATCATGGAAGGTTTGGTGATTGGAGTGACCGATCGTCCGTCTTGGTTGACCGCTGTTTTGCCGATGACACCCCATATTCTGTTGCAGTCTTTTACAGCCTTTGTATAGAAAGTCAGACCATTACCACGGTAGCTATTACTTCTACTGCATGTGATCACACGAAATGACATAATTGCAATAATGTTCTTACATTTTTCAGAGGCTTGAGGAGAACAACCCCGCAGCCCTCCCCTCGACCGTAACCATCTGCTCTCCTGGAGAAAGGTTTGCTGGTCCCTTCAGGTGAGATCATCTTGGCCTTGCTGAGAGCAACAAACACTCTGGGCTCTATGATACAGCTGACACCTCCACACAAAGCCATCTCACAGTCTCCTGGTTAAAAAAGAAAAAGAAAAAGAAAATGAATGAATGAATATGTAAATACAGTGCATTGGTAAACTAGCTTTTAGGTACGGCTTTTGTGGGGAATAGATGGACAAATACCTTGCTTTATAGCCTGGCAGGCTAGATGTAGAGCCACCAAAGATGAGGAACAGGCACTGTCTATGGCAAAAGAAGGGCCAGTGAGATTAAAGCTGAAGGAAATTCTATTGGCAGCCACACTCATGGCCGTCCCAGTGCCGTTGTAGTGGGTTATCGCAGTGGGGCTGTTACTTCGGATCATCTCATAATCTCTGTTCATAAGACCTGCAACACCACGATAAAAAAAAATAGAGTGGGTTACAACTTGGTTAAATTGTGTGCAAGAAATTTAACATGTATCATAGAACGATTGTGGGCACCTATGTAAACTCCGGTTCTGCTCCCGCTGATCCTTTCCATAGCCATTCCTGCATCTTCTAATGCCCTGTATGTGCACTGAAGGAGGAGTTTCTGCTGAGGGTCCATGAAATCAGCCTCTGCTTCGCTGATGCCAAAAAACTTGTGATCAAACTCGTTAAACCTGAAATTATACAGCAGTAGCAGATCCATCAAAATCCAAACATCTCTCAAGGGAAGGATTAAAGCGTAGTATAATGCTTACCCTTCTATAAGAGCTGCTTTGGTCGTTCGTGTCTTTCCGGGTTTGCTCTCATCAGCATCAAACCAAAAAGTGGTGTCGAACCTTTCAGCTGGAATATCCACTACGCAGTTCTTCCCTTCCAACAGAACCTTCCAGAAATTGTCCAGCCCCTCGCCTAAAATAAAACAGATGGCGATAATTTACCTTGAATGAAGACAACCAGGGAGACAAAATCCTAAATCCTTGCAACAGCGTCATAATTGAGTCATACCTCCAGGGAAATTGCATCCAATCCCAATGATAGCTATGCCGTCCTCTGCGTCTTCCATTGTCACTTTGAGATGCTCGTGGGGATTTCCTTGCTTTATTCTGAAAGCCAAAGAGAAAGCCTCTCCATAGTGAAGCTTGATGTTCAACGCTGGTTGCTATCTTTGGTCACAACCAGTGTGGCTGTGCCCTTTTTATAAACATTTCTGCCAGGAGTCAATGAAAAGGAGCAAGAGGACACAACAATGCCCTGGCTAGTTGCATCTGCAGTCGGCTTCCCTCTGGAACTAAATACACTAATTGTAGGTTAAGATCACTCAAAGGCAGCGGTGAATAAGCTTTTGTTCTTCTTTGCAGATTGACAAAAGGACAGTGTTTATACTAAGATTATACTAAGTCCTCTGACTGGTAATATGGAGTGCAACCTGTGGCCACGTTCTCTCTACAAGAAAGAGCGTTTTACTTCATAGATGTTCCTAAACGTAGCATTACTTAAGTGGACATGACCGCATGGATGCACGCTTATAAATCACTGCTAACAGCGAGTAGCTGATCTAATTGATATTTCTATATAAACAAATTATTATGCAAAAAACATGTGTCACTCATAATTATACAAAGAGCTCCTTGCATTGGTTTTTAAGGCCAGAGGTTAGCAAAGACAGAAACATAGATAAAAAAATAAGGTGTATCTAGGACTTCAAATGTCTAATGCAGCTCTGCGTCTACTGGATGTGTGGGAAAAACAAACAAAAAAATCAATAATGCAGTACACATTCATGAGGAAGAGTAACCTTTATTTGAGCTTCAAGAAGGCCTTTTTTCTAAAGGAACAAACAGAAGCGCAAAGCCAATCCTTTTACACTCTTACAGTATATACACATTTTCCCCTCATTCATCAGTTACAGATGAGCTTAGAATAGGACGTGAGGGCCTATCGCTAATTTCAGAAAGAGGACACACCTTTGGGCACTTAAATAAATAAGAACATAGATAGCATATGGTAAATGTAACTGAAATACATCATTTAAAGAGAAAAAAAAAACTCTAATATGAAGTATTTGACAATTGACAGCGTTATCACCTGTACCTTGCAACAGCCAAATGGTACATTCTAAATTGAGGTACTTTAAGGTCCTATGGTGTTCACTGGTCTGTACAAGTTTAAAATGAGACATAGAGACATAAGTGAAATTAATATCTTTCATACTAATTAACAATGATCTGTGTCCAGTTGATTTGTCTTAGAACCTGGCTTTGATAGCAAATATGACTCTGATGCATAAAACTGCTTCAGAAGTCATTTGCCTTGACGGTAACGGACAACATGCCCTTAACGAAACCCCAAACATCTTTTGTGAATTGTAGTTGACAAACTTGTGATGAACATGTTGTTTTTTTTTTTTTAATCAATTTAACTGTGAAGTGATTTAAAAAAAAAAAAAAATATCAATATGAAACCAAAAGTCTCTGTTTGAAATCTCAAAAACAAATGACAATTAATGAGATAAAAATTTATATAAAGGGGGTGAAACAATAATTTCAGTGTCATCGTCATGTTGATAATAAGAGGGGATACAAATAAATGAAATACAAGGCCTCCAAAAGGCCTGTGCCTGATTGCACAGATTCATATATATATACATGTTACAAGAGTCTAAAATGTCTACTGAGGTATCTAGTGGTCCAGTGATTTGCCCTCCAGCACCATCTTGATCTCTTTGGCATCCAGAGTTTCGTATGTTAGCAGGGCGTCAGCTAGCTTCTCATGCTCTTTACTGTAAGTCTTCAGGATGTTTTTAGCACGTTCATACGAGTCCTGGACGGAAGAGAAAGATTGGTGTATTAGAAATTCATATTATAAAACCATCAGTATTGATATATCTGTAAATTAAAGATAGTTTCAGAGCGCTGTCGGGAGCCCACCTTCAGTAAAACCCTGACTTCCTGTTCGACGGCAGCTTGCGTCTCGGGGCTCTGCTTGGTCATGTCGCCATAGGTCATGACGCCGAGCTGCAACAAAACACGAATTACATCCTCAGGTTAAATGAACAACAGACATTTCTCATCCATGACTCACTTGTAGTTACTGGTCAGTTATAAGCACTTTAATAATAATAAAGATCTAATTGATTAAGTTATGTAGACTAGCTGCCTATAGTGATGTGGGATAGTAAAAGCTCCATAACAGCACTATTTAGTGAAAATATCTGTCTTCTATGTTAGAGGGAAGGGCCAAAAATGTTCAGTCACCAGCCACACAAATTTAAATTTTACCTTGTCACTCATGCCGAACCTGGTCACCATCATTTTCGCTATTTTGGTTGCACCGTCGAAGTCACTGGATGCTCCTAAAACCAACAATAACCACACATCAGCACTCGTTTGTCTTTGCAGTACATACAGTGGTTAAGAAGAACTGTTTAAATAAGTGGTTACACAGCATTTCTGTTGGTGGTAAAACAACAGGACTGACACAAGACACATCTACTAAATCAAATCCTCTTTAATCTCGCACCAGTGGTAATGTAGTCGTCTCCAAAGATCAGCTCCTCTGCTACTCGACCGCCCATACTGACGTCCATCTGAGCCAGCAGCTGGGCTCTCGTTTCACTCCAGCGGTCGTTCTCTGGGAGCATGGAAACCTGCGGGAGCGAGACGTGGAGAACAGAGTGTTTGTTTTAGGACGTAAAGAGCACTTGTGAGGACGACTGGATATGATGGGACGTGACAAACTCATGCTCACATGGCCAAGAGTTGGTCCCCTGGGCATGATAGTGGCCTTATTGATGGGCATTGCGTCTTTGGTGTAATAGGCAACGATGGCGTGGCCGGACTCGTGGTAGGCGGTGATGGTCTTATTCTTCTTGTCGATTTCAACGCTCCTCCGCTCCGGGCCTGGTATGAAAAGGACACAATAAAAAGGATTAGAACTGATTAAAACCTTTTTACTGATTCTTCTTCCTGTCTCTGAACGTCTCTGAAGAATGAAGAACTGGAGTGTGTCCAGGTAATCCGTCTCATGTGACGTGATGCGAGGGCTGCAGAGCAGATCTGAACACCGCGTGTACTCACCCATGAGGATCTTGTCCTTAGCGAACTCCAGGTCCTTCATTGTGACCATCTCTTTCCCGTCCACGGCCGCCTTCAGGGCTGCCTGGTTCACCAGGTTCTCGAGCTCTGCACCAGAGAATCCCACTGTGCCCCGGGCAATAATCTCCGCTTCCACGGCTGTAAAAGAACATACACACAATAGAAAATGCCTTCTTTATAAAAAGGTGGTCACTGTTCAGTAAACAATGATGTACTTTACAGAAAAGCAAACAAAGGTATTCTCTCTGCTTTGAATGCTTTAAAAAGAGTTTTCAGTTGTACTGTTCTCTTGCGTTCAGACCTACCAGAGTCCACTTTAATCTTGGAGAGGTACCAGTTGAGAATTTCAGTGCGTCCTTTCACATCTGGGCGAGGTACCGTCACCTGCATGTCAAACCTCCCAGGTCTTACCAGAGCGCTGAAAAGTAGTGCCAAAGTTGTAATAATTAAGACTCATAGTAGATTCATTCTTCCATTTTGTGAAATGTCCGACCTTACCGCGTCAAAACCCAAATACAAGTGAAACTACAAGGCTCCCATGTTATTGTTCTGAACTCAAAATCAACTCATGGGTTTGTAATTCACCATCAGGGTAAAACTAGAAAAGTAGCACTGGGTGCACAAGACAATTTAAGTAACGTATGCAAATTAGTGTGCAAAATTACTGTTTCTGTAGCAGCTGCAAAACAGGCCAGTGGTCAATATATGTCCTCATGTGTTTGTGTTTTGTGTGAATGAAAAGGGTTTGATTCAGACAGCGATATACTGAAACTAGGACAAGGGCAAAAGGATCAATCAGAGGACAGAGGTTACAGAGTGGGAGGCAATAAAACTGGAGCAGTTTTGCATACATGAACTGTATGGATTGACCTTTATTACAGCTTGACCTGTTGCAGGACATCAGCAGGTCATACTTGTTGTTCTAGTTAAACTGGCAAATTAAAAACATGTTAAAAAATATGTATTTATTTGAAATGAAAACATACTTATCCAGAGCCTCAGCAAAGTTTGTAGCACCAATGACAATGACTCCTTCATTTGGTTTAAACCTGGAAAATAACAAGACATTCAGAGTAAGGAAATTAAAGTTCTCAGCAGCAATATTTTATTCACACTATGCAGTTTAAAAATGCCACTGCATTAAAACTGACCCATCCATTTCAGCCAGCAGCTGGTTAATGGTTTGTCTGGAGTAAGGATGCATAGGAGACTCAATCCTCTTCCCTCCAACGCTGTCCAGCTCATCGATGAAGATGACACAGGGAGCGTTGGCTTTTGCCTCCTCTGCAAACCACAAAAAAAAAAAAGAAAGAGAGATTGTCATCGTGTGGCTAGATCCTCACTGGTTCCTCTAACTTTCTCAGATCCAGAAAACTTACTGAAAAGGTTCCTGATGCGACCCGCACCGACACCCACGAACATCTCATCAAACTCTGATCCGGAGGCGTAGTAAAAAGGCACATCAGCCTCTCCCGCCACGGCTCGTGCCAACAGAGTCTTTCCCGTGCCTGGTGGACCAATGAGGAGGATCCCTGAGAGGATAACAGAGGAAAATAATTCAAATAACATATCAAAAAATACAGCCTATTTTCCTGGACAAGTTCAGTTATTGTACCTTTAGGCAGCTTTCCACCCAGAACAGTAAACTTCTGTGGGTTCTTGAGAAACTCGACAACATCTTGTAGTTCATTCTTTGCCTCCTCCACTCCTTTGACGTGCTCAAATGTCACATTCTTCATCTGGATGGGGTCGACGGCTGAGTCCAGACCAGATGTGGTGCGGAACCTCACTGTGAAATCCAAAAACAGCTTCTTCAGCACAGCGGATCCAGAAACACTTCCAGCTTCTTTACAGTGTCTCTCAATGATAGACTATGCTCACTGCAGCACACACGTCAATACCATGATCCAAATGTGTGATGCTTTATCCAACTATTTGAATATGCAGTCACGCTCTACATGCACACCATAGGAGAGATATCATGTCTTATTAAGCTGATGGTACACACACCAAAAACATACCGCATCAAATATGTAAGCTAACACTGACTTGATTATAAAAGCTTGGAGACGCTAACAAGCTTTGTTCTCTTTGCAGTGTGCGTGTAAGGGTTTTGAGTTGATGTGCAAGCATAGGAAAGAACGAGAATTGAAACAAACCAGCGTCAGAAAAGGAGCCTTTACCCGAGAGAAACGGGGTTCTTGACAGGCCATAAATACCAATGAGTAGGAGGACCAACAGGATCAACCTGGTTCTCCTCAGAGAGTCTGTCAAAACAGAGGAGAGGAAAAAAAGAGTTAGCCATGAGTTTTATCCCTCTTCGATTATATAAGGTTTCTTTTCTTTCTGGATGATAACAGTGGTGCCTTATGGCCAAGTGAGTGAGCCGCATGCCTTGTGTTCTCTGAGTAAAGGCCTGAGACCTCATGAAGCCCTCAGTGAAACCGGTCTTGAAAGCCTCCTGCTGGTTTTCTGGAAGGTTCTTTTGTTTTGTCACTTGGTCCAGTGACTGAACATCTGGTCCCTTGTCCCTCTGGAGGAACCCCTGTCAGGGACCACGGAGGGAGAGTTGGTTAGTTGATTAGTGGGATCTCAGACATTAAACAGACTGCTGGAACTGTGCTGACCTTCATGAAAGCTGGTGTGTAGGCCTCAGTCTCAACTGGACCCTCATAAGCAGACTCCATCCGTCTGGTCTTTGATCTGAGTGTCTTGAAACCCCGACTCTGGACCCATACTAAACAGAGACACAGGGAAAAACACACAAAACATGAAATACTACTTTAAATGACAAGCCCTTCATACACATAGATAACTCTCACACAGCAGATTAAGTATTCAAAAGTTAATTTCTTACCAGGTAAGAATTGTACTTGTGAGCAAACTTCTTTTAGAGGACTATGGTATTGTCTGTGGAATATTGGGGAACCAAAAACCCCCAACCTTCTGTGTGAAAACCCTGTGAGACAAAAAAGTGCAAAAGGTTTATTTTGCTTTACGTGATATAACAGTAAGCAACACTAAAAAGATGGATATCCTTTCAACGTCCTGAGCTGCTCACCATGCTTGTTGTGAAAGAAGCTGTCTGCAGAAATGTGACTCGTCCTCCATGTCGAAGGAACAGCAGGAGGTTTTTCTGGTCCTGGTATAGGCAGTAACCTGCTGACCAGCTCATCCAGCTGACTCACCCTGATATCCGAAAGGCCAAGGTCCCTCAGACTCACAGTGGGCTGTAAAAAAGGAGAGCCAAAGTAGGTTATCTGCACATTTTGTAAGACAGCTATCATAGCAAAAAATAACTTTAAAAGAGCCTTTAAAAATATTTATATGACATCAGACACATATAGAAATTAACATACTGATCAATACATTTAGCAAATCATCATATTGACAGATAAATTGGTAACAAAAACAGGTATTGTTAGGTTTAACAACATATTTCTTAGCTGGTGTGAAATTGAAAAACAAAGCATAATGCTTACATGATTATTACTGTGTGTTTAAGATAAATGCTAGGATTGAATCCAGACATGCATGTCATTTTTTTTCTTTACGCTGACTTTTTGATTATGATAATTACATATTGCATCCTCATGGAATCACTTAAGTGTGTCATGCATATATGGTGTAAATCTCACCTCTTTGAGAAATGAACTGTGCTCTGGAGTGAAGTCTTTGTGCAGGGCCTGGACTGAAGCTGTAGCCGAGTTCTTCAGAGAGTGGAGGGCATTGATGAGCTGGCTGAGGGGCACTATCATCTGGCAGACACATAACAACAGGAGGGGGGGGGTCAAGAACAGCCTTATAAACACGTGGTGAGATGTAGCCTATAATATGACATTTAATACATGTACAAAATAGTCACATAAGTTTGTAAACATGTTTCAGTTTTGCTGGACTTCAGGAGAATCTTCCGGGACGTGATGTTCCGGGACAGGACTGTTATGTCAGTGTTATTCAGGCTGACTCTCCACATTGGCCGACATACGTCAGATGTATGCGAGTTATGCAACCTCCACTCTTTTAAGATTACGTTAGCACCCATGAATTTACCTAAAATCCAGCTCTACCCACATGTAACGTATGGTTAGGTCATAATGGAAACCGCAACAACCTTATCGGGGACCTCCCATTGAGAAAGCGTACGTGATGTCATGCTGATTATAAAGCAACCTAGCTTTGACTTGTTAATGCTAACATTAGCCGAGCTAAGTTGTCATTGACCATAAGCGAATATATGGCAAAAAACAACGACTAACAGAGGCTCTTGTTGTTATAACCCCCCTACAACGGTGACAGCATAACCAAAATACAGATAAGTTGTCAGAAGAGCACACATTAGCATCAGCTAGCTAAATTAAAAGTGCTATCCAGTCGGCTTACCTGCTGTGGCTGAAACGATGTTGACAGTGAGAACATTTTTACTGAATGATGATTCAAAATAAAGATTTGGAGGGCGGACGTATGAGGACAGACCCTCTATATAACGTGAATGAACGAGTCCTCCCACGAGCTGTGTCCTTTTGTTTTCCTTGTTACACAACTTTCAGCAGCTTAGCTATCGACAGCAAATGGATTCTCCGGCGTCTGAGGTCAAATGGACTACAAAATGACGTCGAGACGGTTACAGCTTGTGTCGTTACATCACCCGTAGAAATAAAACCGCATTAAAGAAATATTCTTAACATTCTCAAACTGTATAGGACAAACATAGCTGTAATTATATTTCATATATTCTCATTAGGTTTCTTAAATGGGAAAAACGTTTGGCTGCTATTACACAATTTCAATATTTACGACCTATGCGTGCCCCTTACTGCCTGACTAAAAATAAAATATTAAAAAATAAAAGTGTTGTTAGTATAGCTGTATTAAATCGAGGAATGTGATATGTTAATTTAATTCATAGATAAAATAAACAACTTATTTTTAATTACAGCACACATTAAAAGTATGTAATTCTTTACGTTCAGGCAGTTGATTGAACGTCAGAGGACCCCGCGAGAAAGAGCAGCGGAATTCAAATTTTCAAAACAAACCCGAGATTGTTGTTCTGTCATGTACGTGTTTACTGTGAGCTGGCTAGCTTTAACAGACACCACCTAAAATCCTGAACGAGTTAAATTATGGACGCGGATGAAAAGCACGACTCCAGCACAAATGAGAAAACGGTGGATACTCCTAAACCGCCTTCAATCGAGGACTTCGCCGTTGTGAAGCCCATCAGCCGCGGTGCCTTCGGCAAAGTCTACCTCGCACGGAAGAAGTGCAATGCGCGATTGTACGCCATTAAGGTCAGTCTGTTTGGTTTTTGTCACATAGTGAAGCTTTGCCTGGGACTCTAGCTTAATTAAATACTCTCTTTTTCTTCGTCAGGTGATGAAGAAAGCAGACATGGTTGATAAAAACATGATGGGGCAAATGAAGGCGGAGAGAGACGCACTCGCTCTGAGCAAAAGTCCCTTCGTGGTTCACCTGTTTTACTCCCTTCAGACAGCCACCAAGATCTATTTGGTAACATTAAAAAAAACACATTTGCACAAAACATATTTCCTGTAAAATATTATTTGTATTGATATTATTGAATCTATGTTTTCCTGTTGCTTACAGGTAATGGAATACCTCATTGGTGGAGATGTCAAATCTCTGCTTCACATTTATGGATATTTCGACCAGGATATGGCTGTGAAATACATTTCTGAGGTTGCTCTGGCTTTAGACTACCTTCACCGTCATGGTATAATCCACAGGTACTTTGATACAGTAGTCAATGTCTTTAGGCCTTGTTAAATGTGTATGACACCTACTGATTGATTTTCTGGTTAGATTTGATGCTTAATTGTAATTTATCTGAGTTGTATCTTTTCAGGGATCTGAAGCCAGACAACATGCTTATAACCAATGAGGGTCACATCAAGCTGACAGACTTTGGCCTTTCTAAAGTCAAGCTCGACAGAGGTATGAAGCCCTATCAGCTTGACACTTGAATAAATCGTGACAATCGCCACTAGTTTTGCGAGTAATTTTTATTTTATCTTTGTTCTTTCGATATCAGAGCTGAGTCTTATGGATATCCTAACTACCCCATCCTTGGTCAAACCAAAGAAAGATTATTTCCGTACGCCGGGTCAAGTCCTCTCCTTAATCAGCTCTCTTGGATTTGTAAGTACATTTGTCTGTTTTTGAATGAGGCGATGTTCAACTTGAATGCATCAGAGATGACTCCTTCATTTATTCGTGTAAACACAGAATACACCTGCAGGAGAAGGCAAGCGTCACTGCAGCGCATCTGCAATGTCCAGTCCCATGTCCTGTGGCAAAATAAAACCGAAGAATAACTCTCTTGGTTCTCCCGTGATGAAGAAAAAAGATCAGGTCTACTCTCCGGCTTGCTACCCTTGGAAATTGGGTATGTCATTGTTTTTTTTACTTCATTTTCATCCGCTAATCATTTGGAATGACTGGTATGCAGCATTGCTTAATTATTCCTAAAAAGCTCTATGTCTGATCTAATGTCTCCATAGGACCCAACAACAGTTTGTTTAGTCCTCATAACCTGGCTAAAAATCTGACTCCCACACTGATGAAGACCAGAAAGAGGTTTGAGACAATGAGTGGAGGCAGCAGCACCGACACTGAAGGTGGCATCAGTCCACTGTGGGAGTGTGAGGAGGTCAGTGATCATGGACCTTTAAATGACCTATTATGACCTATTGAACATGTCATCAACTTTGTTTCCCCCAAATCTTACTTTAAGTAATTTAATTTTACATTTCTATATATCCTGGAATACAAAATCACACCTTTTTTTTAGTTTAAATTGTTCTGCAGACATTTTACCTCTTGTGTATAATGTCTGTAGTGACATGCAACAACAGGTGAAGCTTGAAGGGGAAAATAAACAGGACTTGAACTCATCTTTTGTTGTGAGAGTAATTTTCCTTTTTTCTTTTTTCTTCAGAAAGAAAATGAGCATACGAATGAACGGAAGGTCAGAGGGCATTCTCAATCCAAACGGGACTTTGCGCCCACAAAACCGGGCACCTTCAGGCTCTCTGCTAAGGCCGGCGCCAATCTGGCCAAAAAGTCAAATCCAGACCATCTTGCGGAAAAAAGGCCTCATACGAACAAACTGGAGTCTGTTTCCACAGCTCGGGAGGATGTCTGTCTGTCAGTGACGGACGACAAACCAGCTGCTGTTCCCTCATCTGTGAAGAGAACATTTTCAGATGTAGAGAAGAGTCCAGAGCCGTTAGAAATCCAAGCCAAGAAGAGCAATGCAGACTACAGAAGATTCTATGAGATTCCAGAAGAGACTGCGAGGTTTCACACTGGCCTAACAGGAACATTTTCCACCATCCAAATAGGCGACTTCATGGCCTCCACTGAGGGGATTGGTTCAGCTGAAGACCGGGTCCCAAAGCGCTCCAGTCCCATTGCTGTGGCCAAAACCCTGTTTTGTGAACTGGAAGAGCCAACAGAGGACGTGTTTGAAGATGGAGCCAAAGACCTGTCGCATACAAGTTTCACATCACCACTCACTGAGAACAGTGACATTTGCCGGAGCTTGAGCCTGGACTCTGACGGGTCCATGCACGAAATGTCTCTCACTATGGAGAGCTGCTCATCTCTCAAACCGAGCAAGTGCTCCACCAACAGGAGCCTGAAATCATCTGAGGAGCAAGAGGAAAATAGAGACTCCTTCATCACTGAATCCCGATGTCAGACTCCCTCTGCTGTTGCAACTGAAACACCCAAACTGAGTCATTTTGGCCGGAGAAGTGAATCTCAGTGTTCCTTTCTCAACCGGCTCCCTGATCTGGCTTACGGCCTGACGCAGTCCCCCTCATTCCTCAAGCCGCGAAACGTCGTAGCTTTCCGTAGCTACTGTAGCTCCATCAACCGCTCCAGCATGTCGGGGGTTTCCCGACTTAGCGTTGGGTCTATGGAGGCTATGGACTTGTCCACATCAGCTCCTTATCACTACGCATCTGGTTCTGCAACACCAGTGCAGAACAGACCCAAGTCCAGCAGCTCTCTCTGTCAGGTAGGCACACAGGGATACAGTTTGAAGTTCGTTTTTGACTTACACTTCCCAATAGATGTTTTTTAATATTGTGAACGCAAATTATCATCTTGCACACATAAGATCCGTATTATAGATCCTGAAGATGAGATATTTTTTTATTTTGTGTGCACAGATTAAAAAAGAAAGTCAAATTTTTCAGGACTTTGAGGAAGTCTTTGGGCTTTGGGTTTTTAGATTATTGTCAGGCACAATTGGATATAACAATTTGGCAATTTCACTATTTTCTGACATTTTATAGACTGAATGATTAACCAGTGAATCATAATGATCATCAGATTAATCAACAGTTTTTTTGTTTGTTTTGTGTCTTCCTCACATCAGACTCCTCAGGCCATGTCCGCCTCCCACACCCCTTTCAGGACCCCGAAGAGTGTCCGGAGGGGCGCGCTGCCTGTCGAGGGTGCACCCATTTTAGGGACCCCGGACTATTTGGCCCCGGAGCTTCTTTTAGGAAAACCACACGGTATGAGCGGGAAATTATTATTATTAAATCCCATTTACCACAAAAATACTATAAATAAAAGCTTATTAGTCCAACAGATATGCCAACACACTCTTGTGGTATTGATGGTGGATGCTTGCCATTGTAGCCCTTGTGACAAGCATTCTCTTTTAGTTTCAGGAAGTGGTCAGTGTGGTAAGTTTATAACGATATTGCTGGTTTTCTTTGCAAGTGAGTGCATGTTTCCCCGGCCTGCTAATACGCTAGAGGACATGAGCTGATTTCCCCCTGTTTCCCTCTCCCCCGCTGTTTCTGTTTCTACCCTGCGTATTGGTGAACACACTGCGGGCCTGATCAGAGGGAAGATGGGGGGGGGGCAGCATTTTAAAACGTGATTACAAAGAGAATGGGATCGTCTTCTAACATTGAGCTAACACCATTCTTAACAGTTGTGGGATCAGATGTGTTGAGGCTTTACATGCTGCTAACTGGGCGGGTCTTTCTGCTCCTGGAGTCTGTAGATTTGCGGCTGATCCTGGCACAGAGTGAGTGTGCTGTGGCACTGGATTTATTTTTGACATTCAGCAAAATGTCATCTAATAATAAGCTATTGATTTACCATGTTATTATTCATTCAGATGTTCACATGCTGAGTGCAGTGTTTTCCTGTCGGTTTGGTTGCGTGATTGCTGCTATTTGAATTCATGAACGGTCTGTGTGGCAGTATTCATTCATCTGCTGTCAAGTATTTTTTTTTATTAGCTTCATACTTGATCGTTATGATAATTGTAATTGTCAGTGGTTGACTCTTTAGAACTACAATGCTAGAAACAAACATCAAGCTTCATGTCAGGCAGATGTTGCATTTTCGACATGTATCTCCCATCAAATCAGTATATCAAGATTGTTAATGAGCGTTCCACGTCTGAATGAAATGTAAAAGTTTAGAAATCCATTCATAAACTAACGTAGCCCCCCCCCCCCCCCCCCTGCTTCTGCCACCGCAGTACGATTAGAAGCGCACTCTAACAGGAATCACAGGGAAACACTTTGGCGTTTTGAAGCCAGCAGCTGTATGAAATGCGCCTTCTCTTCGCAGACTGCATGGTGGATTGGTGGGCGCTGGGCGTGTGCCTTTTCGAGTTCCTCACAGGTGTGCCGCCTTTCAACGACGAGACGCCTCAGCTGGTCTTCCAGAATATTCTCAACAGAGGTGGGGTTTGGTTTTTACTGTCGTCATCGCGTCACCATTCAAACCTCAAAACACAAAACACTGAACTTTGGTTTGTGAGAGTCAATTATGAAAATGTTAATAACACACTGTTGTTGCTTGTTTTACCACCTCACCAACACGTCAGATATCCCGTGGCCCGAGGGAGAGGAGGAACTGTCTGAAAATTCAAGAAATGCCATTGAAATACTCTTGACAATGGACATGATGAAACGTGCCGGTCTCAAGGGTGAGGACGTATTGATAAATGATAAATGCACCAACTGATTGATGATTGACAGGTCCTTTTTAAATGCAGGACAGAACTAGCCTGATGTGAGAATAAATTATGAACTGAAGTATGATGATTATGAATCTACAACTAAATATAACAACAAAGTTTTCTGGAAGGTTTTTCTGTACATTAACTCATTTTTATCATGTTTATATAGTCATAAAAATTAAGAATTGGTCTTTTCATTCTGCTCCCCATCATACAGGAGGTTAACAAGCTAATATAACATAGCTTATAATATTAGCAGTAGTTTCAACACTTGAAACACTTGAAAATAATAACTTTTCGCTTCAAAGAATGACAATGAAGTGGGGATGTAAATTCTGAAAATGTTTTCTTTACCCCCACCAGAGCTCAGGTGCCACCCCCTGTTTGACGGCCTGGACTGGGATAACCTGCAGAACCAGCCGATGTCTTTCATACCTCAGCCTGAGGACGAAACCGACACCTCGTACTTTGAGGCAAGAAACAACGCTCAGCACATCGCCGTGTCCGGCTTCAGTTTATAGAGGTAGAAACGTTATAAAAACGCAGGGTTTTTATAAAAGTGTGTTTGTCTCAAAAAAATCCGACCCATTATATATATATATAAATACACAATAGTGATGTGGATTCTAATTGTTTGTTCGAGGCTGTAATATTTTTTAAAAAACATTTTACGTTTGTGCAATCACTGGTCATTAGAGTCAGATAAAAGCTGAATCTGTTGACTGCTCAGTCAGTTACGAGTGTTCATAGTAAAACGTGAGTTTCTTTAATACCTTTAAATAAGTGCTATCATATTACATGCACAAGTTATAGCTCTTAAATTAGGTTCCTCTGTTAGCAAAAGAATATTTGCTACTGTTTAGCTTGTAGTAGTGTAAATGTGGCACTTCCTGCCTGATGATAACTTCCTCTTCATTTCTGCTGCTCTGATCTCTGTGTTGTTCCCCTGCTGTTATTAGACTGGGTGGGCGGGCCGCCTGAATTTCTTCGAGGGGTACAACAGTGCTAAAGAAAAACATCCTAATATATTGATGAATAATGTATTTTATTTGTAAATCTTGTTAGTAACGTTTAGTGTTGTTTTAAGAAGGAAGTTCCTACTTTGTAACTGTTTTTGCTGCTTTTATATCACTTGCGATTTTGATGTGACATCATTGTCCTCTGTCCATTTTCCACACTACTGTTTTTGTTGTTTTGTTTTGTTTTTTTTAATATGTTCATCTGGCTCTTCGCTACTTTTTTGTGAAATTTTTTATCTTGTTCACTTCAACAAAAAAGGGAACTACAAATAAAATCTGTTAGTAACATGATGCACTTGTGCAATTGTGCATCTTTAAAGGAGTAATTCACCAGTTCTGGATTTTAACTTTCTAGCCGACAGACTTTAAACAGCTCGCCTGGATCTGTCCAGATGTTTTTTTTTTTTTTTAAATCCGTACAATCACAATGAAGTGAACCTGTAAAGACAACAGGTTGTGGTTTTATTGAGGGGGTTATGCATGTGGGACTATTTCATAGCCGGGCGCCGGCTTGTTTCCAGCTCTTTGTGCTAACTGCTAGCCACGGGACACACTCAATCCTCTCATCCAACTCAAAGAAAGCAAATAAACATATTTCCCATTATGTAAATCAGCAATTTATTTGAAATAATCTGAACAAACTAAAAGGCTTTATGAAAACTTTATTTTAGGCTTGGATTATCACATGCAGACACCACTCTATCCACAGGCAGAGAGGGCGAGAAAGCCTTAGTACATTTCAGTAAAAAGGTAAACTATTATTTATTAAAACATAATGGCTCTGGAAAGATTGGTGCTATTGCAGATGCAAACCTTATTATAATGATATAGTCTTCTATATTAACAATACATGGGAATGCAATTAAAATATTGCATTTCAATCTCTCTGAACTGTACAGCTATTGTATACAATGTGTATAGATCTCACTGCTTTGCAAACTACTCACGATTACACTCGAGACAAAAAAAATCGTTCCACAATATTCATACAAACGTATTACACCACACATTTTAAATTATACAACAGAGAAAACATGGCAGCGTAAACGACACAGACAGTGACGAGTGTTATGTATTACTAATCAGTTAGCAGATTGGGAAATGATGCTGTCGGATGGAGGTTCTCACCACCTCTTGGCTCACTAGGTAGTGTGATTAATGTTAATTTGGTCCAGTACTATAACAATCAATGCTACATTATGTGAATGTATGAAATAATAATGCCACCTATGAATGTACCTATTGATGTTGAGGCACTTTTTCTATTTGGAAACGATCAGATCACCTTGATGTGAAAGCACAGGACTGATATGCTATAGGACAGGTGATGAGAACATGTCCTGAACCTTGTCTTAACCTATGACCTAACATTTAATCAGTCACGTGAAAACATAAACATAGCTGAAATCTGGCCAGCAACGCCATCTTTCTTTTTGTCGCTAAAAAGCAATAAATATTTTACTTATTCTCACAATTAAAGAGAATCTCACAAATCAATATATTATTACATTCAATCCTCCATTCTAAACTACAGTTAATACAACATTTTGTAATAGCAGCATTGCCTGGGCAACTAATGAAAGTGAATCATCAAAATTTATAACCACGTTATGCTCAAAACAACAGAGTATCAGGCCCATTTTTTGTGCAACAAAGCCTTAGATATGGAAATAATTGAGAAGCTTCTGTGGAAGGTCTATAAACACGCTGACAAAATCCCAACCGTTAAAGTTTTCCCTCTCAACACAAACTGTTTCTTTACAGAGAAAAAAAACGAGAAAAAAAAAAAGATTCCAGTACAGTGGCATCATCTTGAAAAAGGTTGTATAATCACAGGCTCTCATACATTCATGTTTCTTTTTGATTCCACATCCACAGTGCAACACTCCGGAGAGATCTCTTCCTCTCACGCGTTAGCTCTTGATGCCGTCTTCATAGTGCAAAAGCAAATTACTGGGCTGTGGGTCTAAGCAGGGGAGGGAGTTACAGCCATTAGCAGCCCAACCACAGACATTTAGAGGACTCGTTTTCTTCTATGCCCAGGGGAGTTTGTGATATAAGCAGCTTCAGTTGATTCGTCTATTAAAAGAAGAAGAAGAAGAAAATCAATCTCAAATTGTGTACTGCATGAAAATGGTGGTGCATTGCAACGTTATATTTTTCTGTTTTAAGAATACCTTCTCCTCCTCTGCAGGAACAGGCGGATAAGCCACTGTACCACAAATGGCCATATCACAGCGAAGGCCAAACTGGTTGGAGATATGTCAAAAGGCCACCAGGATGGCTTCTGGGAAAAAAAAACCAAAACAGAATTAACATTAACATTATTTCAAATGAAACTGCGTCTCATTATAGAAGTTTTACTGATGTTTAAATCATTGTAGTTCCTGTTGTGATCAATTTTTGTTTACCTGACTCCTCTTATTCACTGGGGGTGATGCATAAGTGGGAGACAGCGCCACTGATCTTGCCTGCGGAAAGAAAAGGAAAAGAGTAGGTGGAGTCAACACCTTCAAGATATGAATACATCAGCGATGATCTGTCTTCACTGTGTTGTTTACTAAGCCGAAGTACAATCCCCTTATCTTCTCTCCTCAAAGGCCTCAGCTGTGCACTGAAATCTAGACTTAGCAGGATCAGTTTTAATCTTTACTCTGGTTACTGTCTAACCGCCATGTTGAGTTTGTTATTGACGATCTGCTCTTGAAAATGACTTTCACAGGTAGTCAGAGTCAAGTGTTTCAACTGGAAAAGTGTTTGTTTTTGTGAGTCTTCCATGTGAATCTTCTTTCTGAAAGCAGTGAACGAGAACAGTCAGTCTGACCTGACTGGCAGTTAGAGCCTCCAGGGTGTGCAGCCTCTGGAGGACGCTCTGCATGTCCTCCTGCAGTCTGGCCAACGCCACGACTATCTGCTCATTCAGGCTCCCTCCGGGCGTCACCGCTCCTCCCCTGTGACCCCCGTCCCCGTCTCCGCCACTGTGCATGGGCACCAGAGCCCCAGAGCCGCGGCCTGCAGACCTGGAACCTAACGACCACAGAGATGATTAATGATTAAAACATGTGCACTACCGTCATCAGCAAGGCTTCAAGTAAGACTGACTTTCTCAAACACTGAAATAATTCAGATTGTTATGTCTTGTTGTGGTTCTATTCTTTAACATCTTTTGTCAAATGCAAAATGGATGTCAAGTTGTTGTTTACAAGACAAAAGATATAAAAATCTCTAAAAAGCATGTGTTTGAAGAGCAGTTCCTCACATTGTTTGAGTCCATAGTCAGATCTGAAATCTTTAAATGAGGTTTTGCAGTTAAATATGAAACAAAATGCAAAAAAAAGAGAAACTATACATAGTTTCCCTGAGTCTTAGAGTAACATTACCCTGTCCTCTTCTGACCAAGGAGCTGTCTGGCATGTCTGCATTCAGTCTCCGTCTCTGCGACATTGTCCCGCCGGTCTCTCCATCTTCTCCTCCACACCTGATGACCTTTGGCGGACCTTCAACATCCTCCTGGATCTCCTGTGCCGCCTCCGGAGGCTCCAGCACGTGGTTCTCCTCTTCATCCAGGTCATCCAGAGAGTGGTTGTGCTCTGGGCTCTGGAGAAGACGCACATTAAAAATGAAATCAATGGTAAGACTAATTTACTGAACATAATCCATACTCGTGTGTTTTCCTTAAGCCGTTACTTGCCTCATCCTGGCCAAACTGGTCCACAGAGTCGCAGTAGACTTCGCTGTCGGAGTCGCTGGCCAGGTGATTGGGACCGGACACATGAGCACTGGGATCTGAGATCAGCACAAAGAGCACAGAAAAAGGAGACAAAGCAGCTCAGACTCTGCCTGCATTGTGAAGTAAAACAAGCTGCACTGTAATTAACCGAGTGACAGAGGGGAAGGCAGCGCTCGCTTAATTTGGGGCTTTGTGCTCTTGTTTCAGCAGAAGCATTAATTTACTCCATTAAAACTGTCCCAGGAGCAGCTGATGTGTAAAGTGTGCAAATATTCAGTGTCTGCAGAGTTGCCACAGCTCTGGCAACGAAGCTTAGCAGATTATCTGATCACATGGTGCGCTGATACACAAGCACAGGCAGTAACAGCGGAGCGGTGGGTGAGGTGAGATCTCTGTGACCATTTTGAAACATTTCATGGACATGAGCGCGAGGCCTGAACAGAACAGGACATTCACTAATACGACATGTTTCACCAGAACAGAACGTGTCGTTTTCTTTACCTGCGTGGTGACCGTTGAGCAGAGGCTCGCCGACTGAACCCTCCTGGGAGTCGTTGCTGTTCAGCGCAACCCTGGAATGACTCCCATTGGTGAGATGGATGACCCCGTTAGCCACTTTACCGTTTGACAGGGGCACTTTGTGTCTCCTGGCTGAACCCTTCTTCTTTGGCTGTGAAGCTGCTGATTTCTTGTCTAAAATAAAATCCACAACCCCCCAAAAAAATCAAAATCCACTCCTGACACTCAGATGCATTTTAAAATTAGGTTGTTTTTTTTAGAACATTATTACCTTTTCTGTTCTCCCTTATCGCAACTTCTTCCTCTTCTTCTTCTTCCTCCTCCTCCTCCTCCTCCTCGTCATCCTCCTCATCCTCATCTTCCTCTTGTGCTTCATCCTCCAACCTTTCCTTCACTTCCTTCGATTTGAGCCTGGCAGGCCGAGTCTCCAGAGTGCCGTTCATTTCCATGGTTCTGACGATGCTCTTTGCGACACTCTTCGACGCCATTGAATTCATCATTGTACCAATACCTGCGCAACAAAATGAGAACTTTATTATAGGATCATAACGTTAAAAGACAATGCTTCCTTTAAGGCTAAAGAAACCTTGTCAGGATTTACAAGAAAATCACAAATTTAAAGTCAATGTCCAACAAGTAGATGGCTGCTTGGTGCTGAACAAAATCTTTGTGTACTTAGGTGGATAGGATAAAAACTCAACTAGGATGTGTCCATTTCTTAGTGCAAAAGAAACCTTAAAAGTGCTTAGCCACATGTTCTGTAGCACTAGCGGAGCATGCACAGCACAACTGCTAATAAGCACAAAAAGCATCTGAGCTACAACACCACACAGATACTAAACTATAGGACCAGACTCATATATCACTCATATATTCACAGTGATGTACTTGCCTTCCAGCTGCCTAGCAAACTGTGTCAAACGGGCTGAGCATATGACAAGAGGCAAATTATAAAATGTTATGCTCCACATGCAGTTTTTTTTTTTGACATCACAAACAAAACAACGGTGAAAGGTGGAGGAGTTCCACCTGGTGTGTAAATCCTACCTGTGCTCAGGTCTGATATCTGCGTGATCTTTTTCCTCTCTTCTATCATCTCGTAGAACGGGCCGAGGACGCGCAAGAGCTCCTCCACCTCATCTGTCATGGGCATGCCCTCCAAGATCTAGAAACAAAATCCAGTGTCAGTCTTCTAACATATTGAAGATTTTTATTCCTAATCAAAAGAACAGTTACATCCTCTATAAAAAAATAAAAAAAGAAGTACACACATACCAGTTTCATTTCCTCAACATAGGCTGCCATTGCTTCTTCTTTTGACATATTTCCGAGAGAATCCCACGCATCCCTGGTTAATAAGAGTAAATTTAAAAAATGCATTATTATCTAATTTTTCACAGTGAAAAGCAAAGCCCTGCTTAGTGTTCAGAGTCTATGTCATTCAGATTTGTGCCAGGTTTCAACTTCAGGTCAGTTTATTTTAGGTAAGTGTGTTATCTGTTAGCTGTGGGTCACAGACCAAGAGAAACTTAACTTTTCATTAGTAAGAGGAGAGTAGAGCTTACTCATAAACTAGGCGTTTTTACAGTTTCCTAAAATCACACCAACGCAATGGGAACATGAGAGAAACTGTCCAGTTTAGTTAGTGGGTGAGAGGTCACATTCCAAAGCGCATTTCAACCAGCGCCAAGTCCAGAGTTCACCTAAGGGTGCATTTATGCTCCCCTTACGTACAAAAATAGATGTTTAAAACAATAACTGTCACTGCCTACATGCTTCCATGCATCATTCACATTGGCATGGATGTTAAAGATGAAAGAAGTTTACTTTGTCCTGTTTGTTTTTTTTCCACAGTGATATCAAAGTGGGCAAAAAGCAACATGTTATGCAATGTGCACAAGTCAAATACTGTTTCAATTTCCACAATTTAATTCAAGGATTTGCCTTGAGAAAACTGGTATTGAGTACAACTTGTGCTTGTCATTTTGCCCTTGAGGAAAAACTATTATTCAACATGAAAAATATTAGAACTTCAGAAAATAATCAACTTAAATATTGGATAATATTTTCCACATTTGATATAGATAAAATAACATATTAACTGACTGTACATTTCCTTTAGTTAATACCATTTAGCTTTGCCGACTGCGTCCCAGAAGCCAGGTCGGGGTATGTTACATGCTCCCACAGTGGCTTGTTTGTAATAACTGTAGAACTTGAGCATCATGTCATTGGAGGGCTGAAAGGGACCTGGAAGAGAGAGATTTGAGTTGTAAACAGGGAATTTCACACAGCAACATGTGCAAAGTAGCTTACATAGCTACTTGTGAGGCCTCTGACACAAAAACAGACTTTCAAAAGTGACTATTATAATAATGCAAGTTGTAGGCTGCTGGAAAGAGGGTGTCTGCACTGCACTAGGCGAGTAAAGTGGATTAACCCCTTTAAATCGCACAAGCGCAGAGGCAGACCAAGCTGTCGCCCAGCACCTGACACCATTCTGTTTCAACCCCTGTGGTGAACTGGTTAAACTGGCCTGGACGACACTTGCAGACTGGTGTGTTCACCCCGTCACTTACCATCCGGTGGTAAACTCTTGATCACTTTCACGGCGGCTTCAAACCTCAGCTGGGTCAGACGCCCCTCATCCTCCACTTTGACACTCTCCACCTCCATCGTGCCACACGGTGACGACCAAAACAAAACCTGGAGACAGGCAATAAATAAACACACCGCCGCGATGTGAGAAATGCTAGTAAAATAATGCTAAACGCTGACTTCTTTAATGACGTTCTTGACAACAATATTACGCTATAAATCCTCACTTTGCAACGCTAATGCGACTAGCTAAACTTGTATGTACAGTATGTTATGACCACCAGTAGGAGGAGGGTTTTCGGTGGTGAATCTAGGACACATTAACCAGTATGCGACACAGGTCAAACTACACCGATATTTCCATAAAATACAACCTGTACTTTCAAACTCTCGACGGAAAAACTCATAAGACGACGACACTTACCGTTAAATTCACCGGCCTATCTGTTTGTCAGAAGGCGACCTGTCTTTAGCCCTCGACCAGACGCCATGAACGGTAACCACTCGCAGGTGCCGTCTGGGAGTTGTAGTTATCTACGAGATAGGAATATCTCCTACAAGCTCCACAATCCTCCGCTTCGACTAAACCGCTTCAGTAAGAAATGTAGCTAGTTTCAGGTTTAGCTAGCGGCTTTGTTGGAGAAACAAAAAATAAAGACAAAATAAGCGATAAAAAAACAACTGAGAAGCGAAAAGTATCAAATGTTATGTTTTAACAAGTAGCTGACATACATTCACTCTAGCAACAGTTCCGAGCAACACTACATATCCCAGCATGCTTATAGCCTGGATCCATGTTTTTTTCCGTTGAAAGAGTGAGGTAGACGAAATAGTAAGAGCTCTCACTTTGTCTTGATTTTCGCTTCCCACATCTCGCTTTAAGATTTGTTGAGTTGAAATCAGCTGAAAATAGTTCGCCACTTATTTTGATAATTGTTTAAGTACTTTTTTAAGGAAATGTTATGTATGACTTTATGTATTTTTCAGTTGGAACTAGTCTGGCCTTATATTTTATTTGGTTTTGTTGGATTTCTTTTTTTAAATGTTCAATTCATGTTCTTTCTTTTTTCTTTTTTTTTCTTTTTCTTTTTCTTTTTAAAAAAAAGCTGGATAAAGTTATCTTAGCAATATCAAATTGTAAAAGCCAAAATCATTTTTCGATGTATTTATTTTCTATTGTCTATTACATTGTTTTTAACAACGTAAAAACAATCATGAAAATAATAATAGTAATATTAGTACTTGTAAAGCATTTTTTAAAAACAAGTTTATGAAGTGCTTCATGAACATAAAAACAGAAAAAAATACATCATCATCAAAATACATAGTGCAGTTATGAAGTAGAATAAATACACAACGTAGTGGGAAAATAAATAAAAATCCAAAAGAAAAGAAAAGGAATAACAATAATAATATAAAGGAATTAAAAGCAAATATAATGTGCATACAACAATATAATATTTGTTATTATGCGAATATGCATACATTTTCATAGATGAATAAACTCTTTTTCCTATATATTTGGAAAAGAATACTATTAGGCACCAATAAAAGAAGTAAATTATTTAATAAATACATAGTTGAAAGCACGATACACTAAGACAAAACTTAACTAGTGATTCTGGAATATGATAAAATAATAATATCAGTTATAAGATGTTGTTAGTTGTTAGACGTCCAAGCCGCTTTTTTAATCTGTTGAGTGACTACTCCTTGCAGCCACAGACGATCTTCGGTTTGAGGCTACGCCAAAGCGAGGGCAGGAATCCCACAATAGCAGGCAAAGGATTTTTTTTTTTTTCTCTCGAAGCAGAGCTGGGGCTGGTGGCTTGTTTCAATCAAAGGGAAGGCAGAGGGAAGGGAGGCTCTGCGGAGAGATGTAAGATGGCAGAGCTACAAATGTTGTTAGAGGAAGAGATTCCGGCCGGTAAACGAGCGCTTGTAGAGAGTTACCAAAACCTCACCAGAGTAGCAGACTACTGCGAGAACAATTATGTCCAGGTAAGTGAGGGAGCTACCGCGTTATCTTTGAACCGCCTTTTGTCGCCAGAAAAGCTCGGGATTGAATGATGGTTGTTGGGACAGGAAATGTGGATAAAGAAACTGGACTCGGGTTATGAAATGATCCTCTCCGCCCGAAAAAAAAAAGGAAAAAAGAGAAAGAAAAAGAAGCCTGGAGCTGAAATAACAGTTTGGTGACGGAGGCTTTCGCTGCTGTGGGACATTTAGAGAGCTCCTGCATGTTCACACCATTGATCACATTTATTCCGTTTACACAGAGGGTGTGTCTACTTTTTTTTTTTATTATTACACAGAGCTGCTTCAAAACTGCTCCCCCTCTCACTGCTGATAGGGAGGCCTGTGTGTTTTACAGCAGCTCAGTGAACACGTTAAAAAAAAAAAAAAAAAACTAACTTAATTTCTCAATTTTATTTTGAAATATCAACGAGAAAGTTGCTGTAGTCCGCTCGCGATAATTGGTGCTGACACTGCTTCAAATAAACTAAATGTCACGTCACAGCACAACTGTAATCCTGCATGAATATTACAGTAAGATAGCAGTCCATTACATTCCTTGAGGTCATTAAACTCACCATTTAATACCACAAAACAGTTTAAGTCCCCATTGGGATACTGCAGGAATATTACAGTGAGGCGTATAGCGTCTACATTATGGACTTGTAAGCACTCAGGGCAAATGCCATAATGTCAGTGCATGACTTTTATTGTTGTAGCACACTTTTGTTAACCATTAAACAACATATAATGTCACATTAAAACATAATATGTGCATGGAAATCGGTAGAAGGCAGCTTTTTTTGTTGTTGTTGGCTAGGTTAATACTTAATGCAGAGACATGCTTATTCAAGGTAATTCAGTTGGGTTTGCAGGCTTGCAACTAGGCAGTAAGACACAGAGGGAGGAATGTAAAGCCATTGTTAGTTGGTCAATAAAGGTTGGAGGTATTGATCCCCCCCCCCTCCCCTCCTCAACTTGTTCATGGGAACAGAGCTTGCTTTAATCTCTGCTGGCTGCACATCTGTCCTCCACTTCAGCCGTCTAATTTGGTCTACATTCTCTCGTGTTTACACTACATTTTTATTTTTCAAGTTTATGTTGATGTAAATGTCGCTCATAAAGATGCGATTATCACAGCACAACTTCACTGCAGAGCCTGAAGACCACAGATGACTTTTGTCTTTGTAATTCTAGTCCAATAACATGTGCGGTTAGCCACACCTAAAAATAAAAGTCAGAACCGTCTTTTGAGAACATACTGAGTGACAGATAAACAGTGGTGGTGAGAAAACATTTTTCTTTTTCTTTTTTTTTTTTGTAAGCAGGAAGTCAACCCACCGTATCAGCTACAGAGGGTGTGTCCATTCCAGCTGTACTCCCTAAAGGACTCCCTGTAATTTAGTTTTCTTCCTTGTCCTCGGATGATTTGGCAGTGTGAGGCACGGCTCTGCAGCTCTGTGCCAGTTACAGCCCACACATACACTACAGAACAGTCAAACCACCATCTCTGTCCCATTTAAGCCCAAAATGAAGTGGATGAAGCTTTTTTCTCCTCCTCCCCCCCTCCGGCCTTCCTCTCTATTATCATGACAGTTCAGTTACAATGACATAAAATACCGTGGTCCTGAATGTGGGGATTTCCTTTCCTTGACGATGGAGTTTGTTTACCACGGCCAGCTGTAACATGAGAACTCATTTCCCACAATGACACAATATTGAGAGCTGTACATGGAAGCAGAAACAATGCAGGGAATTTTGTTGACTTTTCGGTTCATTTATAGCAGCAACGGCCCCATTTGGGATCAAATAGTCCAGATCAGCAGCTGCCAAAAAAGCCTGTACTTTTTACTGGTAGTTTCTTCATACTCGACCACTTTCAAACCACAATGACAAGAATTTGCTCGTTTATAAGGCTTGAATATGGACTGAAATATACACTGAGTGTGTCAGGCCAGGTTTGAATGTTGATAATTATTCTTTCTTCAGTTCCTGATTTATTTTTCAGATATTTTACTATTTTGTTCAGGAAAAGTTGTTTAGCCTTTTTTTTTGTAAGTGGAAATAAGACTTTATAGAGAAACATTACATTTTTCAAAATAAAATACCACAAAAAGTCTTGTTTTGGCATTGGTACCAAAACTTGATTGATTACCTGCCCATATTTAGCTCTTTATTTTGCTGTGGCTCAGTATCTGACTTGAATACTGACCAAAATGTGTCTGTAGCACAGAGCATCAATGCCTGGTCAGATTTCCAGTCTCATCTTGTTTCTCTTGAATCAGATCGTTCCAGACATGAATCATAATTTGGCTGTTTTTTACACGACAATTCTTGCGTGTCTGTTTGTGTTTAGATGACATGTTGCATTTGAGAACTTTGGCTTTTTGTGTTAAAAAGAAATTTGACGCATTTGGCGGCAGATTTTCAGTGTATTTGAATTTGACCACTTTTAATTCCATAAGGAGAAGAATTCACTAATGTTATAGTTTTTATTGCTCTGTGTTTGAACCTTAAACCAACTCAAACGTGTCTGTAGTTTTTTGGAAACTGTCAAGTTGACAACAGATGTCTGGTCGGATTTGACTTATTCTTGAGTCAGACGGTTCCAGACTTGAATCACTGTCTTCATTGTTATACAGCTGGTTGTGTTTAGACGTTTGACATTTCCGAACTTTGGCTTCTATTGTTAAATGAAAAAAAGTATTGTTTTGACTATTGGCACTAGTTTTCGTTTCCATTTTTAAAACAATACAATTTAATTGCTTATATTTGCACATATATTTTGTGCAGGAATTAATATTAACATCACCTTGATTTGTCAGAGGCTTTTGTCCAAAGGAACCTACAAAAAGTGCGTTCAAGAGCTGCAAAGATGTTTGCAAAAAATGGGAAAACTAAAAGTGTTTTGAAATTGCTGGAGTCATTTTTTTTAAAGGTAGTAGCACTGGGTGAAGGTAAATCTTTAAAACCAAAATAAGACGGAGAATATTGAGCAGATTTGGTAAACAGAAGAAAAAGCTGCGTTCAGTCATCATGGGATTATAATCTGCACTGAGACCTCGGAGTAATGAGATGGAGAATGCACCAAAAAAAAAACCCAAAAAACTTTGCTGTCACAACATGTTGTTTTTTTTCCTGTAGCTGTGGATGAAGGGTACAGTAGAGATGGATGACTGAGTTTGTGCTCCAACTTTGAACCGAACCCTGCGGTGAGTTGTGTGCGTCTGACGGGATTTCTGTGATTCTGTCTCTCGTGTTTCAGCCGAGCACCTTGTTTAAAGTGCTGACGTAAAGAGCGGGATTTTAAGCTTTTCGGCGCACGCTGCGAGCTCTGTGTGAAGCGAGTGTCAGACTAACAGTGCACTTTTCATAAGCCCTCTCTGTCTGCTGCAGATACTCTCTCTCTCTCTCTCTCTCTCTCTGTGTGTGCATGTGTGTGTGTGTGTGTGTGTGTGTGGCTCTGATAGAAACACACACACGCGCACACACACACATCATAAAAACTGTGCACTCCCGGCTGCACCGTGCACATATCAACATGCCTCAGCTCGAATCAGCCCGTCCTTTCAGCACTCACTCACTTCACATTTCCATTCCCTTCTCTCTCTCTCTCTCTCTCTCTCTCTCTCTCTCTCTCTCTCTCTCTCTCTCTCGCTCTCTCTCTGTTCTTGTCATGGAGGCTCAGTTCAGCAGATGGTGAAAGGACACAACACTTTCTCAACTTTAGTTTGTCCAAGATAGTGTTTTCAACACTGTGTGTGTATGTGTGTGTGTGTGTCTGTGTGTGTGTGGTATATGACACACTGACAGGTCAGAGTTATGTTTCCTGTTTGCCCTGCTGACTCTGAAGATTGGCTCTCTGGAAATGCCTCCTCTCTGTGTGGCAGGAAGTAGCTTCATAATGGAGCCAAACAAACAAAAAAAAAAAAACACAAAAAAAACACCCTTTCACATTAAAACACTTCTGATTAATCTGCGGGTGTTTTTATTTTGGTTTAAGATTTTCCTGTTTATATTCAAGTATCTCGCTCGGCGCCTGCCGCCGCCTTGTCATTCAGTCGCACTCGTTTTATTATTTCATTGATGCAGCTCAGCAGCCTGTTTGTTTAACCTGTGTGACAAGGACACTGTACTATACTGTATGCAAAGTGGGCCACCTGGCCGTGTTTGGCAGGACATGCTGATAAAGGGCCGTTTATTACTTTGCTAAATAAAACCTAGATTCAGGTTTTATTAGGCTGTTTGATATTTGTAGAGCTGATGCAGGTTCCTCTCTCCTGCTCCTCAGATGTGGGGGTTTGATGTTGGAATAATGTGGAAGTGGAGGATGGAGGATTTTTGTGTTTTTGAATGATGGTGGGACGCAGGAAGTAAATTTTTTTTTTTTTTTTCATTTTCATTTCATAGAGAAACAACTGGCAATAATTGGATAAAAACAAAACAAAGAAAAGCAGAAATTGTAATAATGCTTATTCCTGTGTAATTTTAACCTGCACTGTACAGAAAAAGACCAAAACAGACTTCTCGGAAACTGAATTCACTGTCATGGTCGGGAATCGTAGGAGGAAGGTCGAGCGAAACTTGCTGTTTTTTGCATTGATGTTGGGGGGAAAAAAAAAAAAATTCAAATGAACATCCTCGCCGCCACTTGGCATCTCTGCTTAACACAAAGCATACAGTGACGGGGAATGGGGAAATGGAAGTGAGATGTGGCAAACCAAGAGGTCATAAGCCAGATCAGACCCAGTGTTGCAAGCTCAGGCCATGTGACGTGCGACTCGCTGAGCCAGCACGATGCCCACTTGTGCTTCTTTTGGATTTTTAAATAGAAAAGTCCAGACTGCTCCTAAATGAGCACTTTTGAAACGAGGGCTGTTGTTGTTGTCCCTGCCGATAGTGTCCCGTCTGAGGGGAGAGTCCCGGCTTTTCATTCAGGAGTCTGACACAAAGTCAAAGAGAGAGTTGTGCTCGGTCGTATAACC